TGCCTGAGAACACTTGTTATTGATGTACAGACATGCCATTTCACTTTTTGATGCCTAATGGTTTCAAATTATTAGTTATTATTTCTTATGATACTCAGGACAAAGTGTTTTGTCCAACTGATTGGAAACTAGTTTAGATCTACCTTCATGATATTACCACCTTCAATCTCATCCTTCCTTAAGTGTTAGGTTGTTTACATTTCATATGGCTTTTTAGTTGTATTTCGTTATCTGCCTCACGCCGTTTAAGTACTGCTAGGTTAGCGAAGTAACTGCAGTACACTAGAATAGAATCCTAATCAACGGCATTCAGTTTGGACTAAGAAATAAACTCGATGTTCAGTTCGTGATATGAATCTCTTTCGACACTAGAACTGACTCGTTAACGCTTTTGGTCGTCCCCTGTTCAGTCAACTTAATCCCTATCCTTGGAGAATGAGTTGTTAGCTGGGTCCTCAAGACGTGAAGAATGAGTGACTTTGGATCCTATGTAAAACTTAAATATCGTTCAATCAATCAACCAGTCAATAGCAACGTAGAACTTCGTACGTACGTACATCAGTTCATGTTGCCATACCACATCAGCACAGAGATGTAATTGTCAATTCAAACCACATGGTAGTAGAGGTAGTAAAGGTATTAGCAGTAGTCGGAGAGGTTAGGATAAGAAGATACCATTCAAGAAGTAGAATGTAGTGAAATAGACTTAAAAAGATAAAGTGATGACGAATTAAAAAGTTTGGTATTTGAGAGAACACAGAGAGTAAATGCACCTGCGCCATTGCAAACGGTTTTGAGCCATGTCATTCAGGGTTTCTAGCCGTCGGTTACTAACATCTCGCGGACCCCAACCAGGTAGTCGGCACCTACCGACATGACTCAGTCCACATGTCAATGACTTCATGCATTTTTGCCATATTTTCGTTTGGCCGCAACTAGCTTTCATCCAAGCTATTCCTACATCGCAAAATATAGCTCGACGAGGCAGTCGGTGGTTAGGCATACGTAACACATGTCCCAACCACCTCAACTGATGAAGTTTCATTACTTCATCTATTGATCTGCCATTCTTACCTAGCACCCGTTTCCTAACAACAGCATTGCTTACTCGGTTGTCCCAGGATACACGAACACGGCTTTGCAGACACCTATGATCGAAAACAAGTAACCTATGAATATCTACTTTGGCTAGCCATGTTTCAAAGCCATAAAGTAAGACGGAGCGAACTACTGCACAGTACACTCGTCCTTTAGTCAGCAAACGGATATCTCGCCTACGCCATAAGTGACGCAGGTTGGCAAAAGCTAATCGAGCCTTCTATATCCGTGCAGAGATCTCGTCACACACCAGGACATCAGCACTGATGAGACTCCCGAAATAAGTGAAGCGGTCAACACGCTCGACTACTTCACTCCCTATCACTAGTTCAGGTGACAATGCAACCCAATCTTGAAGCAACATTTTGCATTTCGAGGGGGAAAACGTCATCCCGAACATGCTTGCATTGTTGCTCAGGGTAGTCAGAAGACTCTGTATTTTGTCGGCATCTACACCAAATAGGACCATGTCATCGGGATATTCTAAGTCAGCAAGCGATTTTGCTAGTAGAAGGTCCACTCCTGAAAATTCAGACGTGGATAAGGTTATATATTGGGAGAATATCTATGATAAAATTAAACAAGAATAGAGAGAGTGGACATCTCAGACGGACACCACTTGAAGTAAAGGATTCCAATGACAGTTCTCCATAAGCTCTCACCCGACCAGTAGTTTTAGAGTAGGGAGCTTGTATAAGGTTAATATACTTCTTTGGTACACCTTTTAATGACAGAAACTGCCACAGAACCTCACGATCGGCAGAGTCGAATTCCGCCTTAAGGTCGAGGAACACAACTATTGTCGGACGCCTAAATGTGTGTCTGTGTTCCAGGACCTGTCGTAGTGTGAAGACGTGGTCTATACAGTCAGGTCCAGGTCTGAAACCAACCTGGTTTTCTCTAGTCTGCTCTTCACGAGCTCTACTTAGGCGTCTAAGGATAACTGAGGCTAACAATTTAGAAACTATATTAGTTAGACTTATTCCCCTGGGATTGTTACAAGAAGACTTTTGTCCTTATAAATTGGGACAATCAGTGATTGAGACCACTCAGATGAGATTACGTCCAGTTCCCAGATTCTACCTAAGATCTCAGTCAACCTAGCTGCTACAACTGGACCACCATCCTTAAATATCTCAGGGGTCAGTCTATCAGGACCCACTGCCCTCCTTCGTTTTAGATTTCTTATCGCTTTCTCAACTTCATAAAGAGTCGGGGGGCTTACGTCGATTTGCCATTCAGGATGACTGGAGATAGTGGGTAACCGAAGAGTGGCTCGAGGCCAGTTGAACTGATCCCTAAAGTGTTCTTCCCATCGATCCAGTCTCCTGGATTGAGAATAAATAATAGTCCCGTCATTTTCTGAGATAGTCTCACTTACACTAGGATTCCTAATACCAGTTTCCTTGATAAGTCGGAAAAGTTATCTACTGTTGCCTATCGCCGATGCTTTTTCCATCGCTTTTGCTTTCGCCAACAACCACTGTTCACGGTTGTTGCGTAGGCTTTTTATCAGCCTGCGCCTAAGCTGATATCGTTCTTCATCATGTTCAGAGTCAGGTGGGATGTGTTTTCAAGCAACCATCAGTTCGGTAGATGCTATTGAGATCCATGGCTTCATCCTAACCCTATGGTTTACCTTACTAGCAGATATTACTGCTGTTTCGACAGCCTTTTTGATATCATTCCTACCTGCCTCCAGATGGGAATCGCTTGCATGGTCGCCTAACTGTTTTTCTAGTTGTTCCTGAAATATATTCTTCGCCTTATTATCAATAAGTAGAACCCTAAGAGGTTTTCTGGCGGTAAGCCTTAAACAGATACGCGCTCGCACTAGCGCATGATATGAATCTAAACATGTGCCCCAGAACGAGCGACAGCCTTCTATCCAACCCCTCCATCGGTGGCTGATGGCGATGTGATCTAGTTGGGTCCATCGTTGAGACGACTTCGGGGTCGCCAGGTCAAAATGTGCTTTTCCTTATGCCTAAAGTTGGTGTTTGCTAGAAATAGTTGGTTATCTGAGCATAGTTGCAACAGACGGTCGCCATTGTCTGTTCTCTGAGCTGCGACACCATAAGATCCACCGAGTTGTCTTTCCTTCTCACTCAATCAACCTACTTGAGCATTAAAGTCACCAGCCATTATTAATATATCAGAGCTCCTAACTTTTTGGAGGAGGTCCGAAAGCTTTCTGTAGAACTCATCTTTCACATCGTCTGAACTGCAATTAGTGCGAACGTAGGCAGATATGATGAAGAGGCGACGGTGAGTTTCCCTATCTTTACGAGTCCTTACTGTCCTGTTTAGTCGGGCAGCGCACAAGCGACTATCTACTGGGATCCAGTCTAGGATAGATACTTCAGCCCTACAACTCAATACTATACCTACACCAGCGAGACCCCTGGAAGCAGCATCAGGGCTACCGGACTCACGAAGAGTAAATCGGGTTGCTTCTTTATTTTGATAAGGTGAAATCAGATTAATGATTTTACTAGGATCCTGTATGCGCGTTTCCGAGACGCGGCATACATTGATTAAGCAAGATTCTAATGTCTTAGCTAAGGAAGCCTGTTTCCCCATTTGACACAATGTCCGTACACTAAATGCTCCAATATGTATTCTAGAACGGGGTTTCAGGACACCAGGGATAACGTTTCGTTTGCATTAGCTGTGCAATTAGATAAGGGAATGTGAGTAGAGTTAATCGTGGAGATAACAGATATGTTAGGTGGTGTAGAAAGGATTTGTTTGTGACCGATTTGGTCTCGCCTGCTGTTACGGATATGAGGGCGGTTGTCACTTCCCGGCTGCCCACACCATGGAAGTGCGTTTCTTGATGGACCTGGAAAGGAAGAGAGATTAGTGTTGGTCTTAGAGACCTGGGTGCGTGACCGCAGAGCTCAAGGGACAACTGCTTGAGGCCCGTCACGCACGGCCTTTTTATTAAGGGTTTTTGAGGATTAGCTCCGCTCTTAAAAGCCTTTAGTGGGCACCCTTACCACCGGAGACGGAAATCCGTGAGATAGGGTGACATTTTTAGGGTCGACCTTTTGTATTCCTTCCTTCCTTGTGAGAAGGCAGCATCGTTGCACATGCTGGTTGTCCGAGGGAAACACCTTACTGCTGTTACAGCCCTCTGCAGTCAGCAGTACGACTTCGCCCTCAGACCTTGAGTAGCTGCTTTTAGTCTCATCGTTCTCCAATCGATCTGTCTGGCATGGTAGAACCTTCAGGAACGTAAGTTCCAGCCAATATAGCTCGGTTGGGTCATCACAATAGGCAAGCACGACCACTATGTCAAGGTAGCAGCTACGGTCGGGCAAATATCGTTCACTGTGACATTGGTTCTACTTTTCTTTAAACTCCTTTAAACATTGATTGTTTTTTATGGTCAGTCATATTTACATAAATATCTTCAGTTAGCTTTTATATTCATCTGTTACAAATTGAGAATTGAATTGCTTTACTATTGTGCATTGCCACCTGTCGTTATGTCCCTGTAGCAACTTCAACATATTTTCGTGTTATCGTTTGGTTTAAAGGAGGATATACAGTGATGACATTTCCTCTTTAGCTATAGCACAACTCATGTGAGATGAGTCTGAGTTATTTTTTATGTTATTTCATGTATCTTTAATTCATCTATCACTAGTTTTACACCGTCTATCGTATCGATATATAAAGGTAAACTAAGTTTTTTTAATGATGGAGTTTTCTCTATTAATGCTTGCGTTTTAAGAGAAATTACCAGGTCCTATTGATTATTTTTCTCGTTATATGTAAGGCAACCAGTTATATTACTGTTCATTTCTAGGCTGTGGGAGTTTCAAGTTGATCTGTTTCTGCGCCAACCTACTTTACCAGTTCTACATTCTGTGGTTCAAATTTTGGCTTTCGGAATGGCTTTAGCAAAACTTGTTCCAGAGAAGTATATACAGAAGTTGAACAGTTTATCTAGCAAACTTATTAATGTTGAAAAAAAGTTACAGAGCAGTGGTTTGGTACCAAAAGCTCATTTTTTCAGCATACGAGAAGTTGTTGACTTATCTCCTATGGTAGGCTTGCTCGGTCTTTGTGATATTTTCTTATTGTAAAAGTATTTTGTTATTTATTATGAGATTCTCCTTATTTATTACAGGTGTAAAAATTATTACTAGCTTTTTCTATATGGTACGGTAAACATATCTTTCACTAATTTAATCTTGACGATGTCGATATTCTATTTTATTGGTTTAAGCTCGTGAAGACTTATTGTTGATTGTAAAGGGCCATTAATATTAACTTATTCGACTGAGATGATGAAGACATGGATTGCTTATGTGCAATCATCTCTTCGTCAAGCAATGTTCTTCAGCGAATAAGCAGGTAGAAAGAAGGCCAAAGGCGGCCAAACCAAAACGTTGCATCAGTCCACAGATCCGTTGACCGTAGGTCTGAGTGGTTTGGTAGATGCGAACTACCTAATTGGAGTCCGCATGATAATTGCAACCGGTACTTGGTAATTGAACAATGTCTTGGAATGGACTACAATAGTACAGATACATTCATGTTTTATCTTCCTATCAACCTTGACTCATTATCCCTTCATGTATTTTCTCAAGGTTACCTTTCACTTTATCAATGCTATTATATTGCTTCGATTTATTTTGTTATTTTTTATTTAGTTGTGTTAATCAGGTATTCTAACGTAGGCCAACGTAAATCTATGCCAGGCTTTATGCTGATGATGCTTGTCTATTTGTCTGATTATTAAGAGTCATCAGACGTTTTTGCCTATCAGTAATAGGGACTAGGAAATAAGATTTCAATAAAGCTGTTTTGATATCCCAAGGAGTTTCTTTTGGCATTATAGCTTAAAATCTATTAAAGTTTATGAAGCTGTGAATTAACGGAATGACTGCCGTTGTTACTACGCCGAATCTTGTGATACTGTGTAATAACTGCATATACTATGTGGCTAATCGAAACATGATAAAGCGAACAAGTTTGAATTCATAATCGATCATACATTCATAGTTGCTTCAACTGGAATGAGTACATTTTTTCACCGCATATTATCCTTTTAGTCATCCAACCACTCTAAAGCATAAGTAGTGTTTTGAGCAATAAGTTAATATCGTCTTATAAATGTGATTGTAATTTATTCACCTATTTTTCTACTACATTTAAGCAGATAAGAAGGTACAGTATGCCAGAAATGTGTAGTTTGTGTTACCTGTTGATTTATGTAGTTTTGCAACACACGTACCCAGCCTTTAAATTTATCAGGACATGAAAAACGTTAGTGAATCTATATTATTGATCTGGATATACCAATAGTATTAAGATATCTAATCTTTCTAGTCATCATTCTCAATATTATTAATTGCATTCAGCGGTTTTAAATGACATGCTTTCATTTTCAGAAAATGCTTTCGATGATAGCTGATATTTTGCTAAAGAAACCTGGCCCAATTCTGGTTATTCTCAATCAACTTGTATCAATGTTTCCTGCCGTAAGTTATGAGTCAGTTTTATTGATACAGTTCACTTTGATGATACTATTGAGAAATCTGACTTAAGTAGCTATCTAGCGATGTTAATTAATGTTAGGGTTTCGATCGTAAATTTGTTAGATGGATTGCTTATGTATGTATGAAAAAACTAGCAAGTAAGAAATCGAAGACTTGAGGAGTAACTCAGTCGATACTACTAAATGTGCACCAATTAAGGTTAAATCGTGTTTAACACATTCAAAATCATCATCTATCTTAGAGTTCTATGTTATATGAAGTACTAGTAAGTTGGAAGACGGTGATGAGCTGTCTAATCGGGAGATGATATCACTTCATACGGTGACTGGTTGCTGGTGATTTGAGTAGGAAGGTGAGGTATGGTCCATCGATGTTAATACTTTTTGCAGTAGTTCTAACGTATTCATCTTTTATTGTTGAAGTTATGAGTCGTTTGTCGATGGGCAACACAAAACCTGGTACAAGCTCATACAAGCTGAAGTTTACTAACATTAGGACTACCGTAAATTCTTTGGACACCACTATTCTTTCAAATTGTCTGTCAAATAAATGTATGCCTGAGAGGATTACCAACTACATGGAGGCCTTACATACAAATACCTTAGTTAAAATTAGGTCATATGACTATCTTTATTATTTTATTCAAGCAATGGGGTCAGACAGAGTTGACTAGTATCACCGTTCTTTTTCAACTTTGCTATCGATGACTCTGGAAGCAGCTCTGATGGGTGTAGGTAATGTTGGAGTAGATCTTTTATCTGTAGAAAGACTTCTCGACCTTGACCATGCGAACGATATTGCCTTATTATGTGACGATACTCAAACCGTACAATCCACACTTAACCAGTTCGCATTGTCCGTAGGTATCGCATGAACTTTGCACCTTCTGAGTGTGAAGTACTTCTATAAGACTGGCAAAACCCTGAACTTGAACTCACTCTTGACAGTTAGCAGATAAAAGTAGTCGAAAAGCTCGTGTATCTGGGTAAGTGCTTGTGGTAGCGTGAGTGATGGGACAAATTCACGTGTAGCGAAAGCCAAAACGGCTTATGTCAATCTTGGCCATCTTTGGTGCCTTACCGATGTTAGTCTAGTTGTAAAACTTCGAGTCTGCAATTCGTCAGTGAGGACGACTTTACTCCATGTTTGTGAAACCTGGCCTTTCCGAGTTCAGCATGTCAAGCAACTTTCTATGTTTGATCATCACTGTCTATGAAGGATTGCTGAAATTTAGTGGCAGCACTATGTTAACAATGTAGAGCTTCAACGTGTTAACATCTTGAAACACCAACTTTAGAGGCTTGGATATGTATTACGAATGTCGTCCCAGAGAATTCTGCATTCTGCATTATTTATTGACGCTGGGACTGGATGGAAAAGCGGTGATAAATTTATGACATGGTATTGTACTATGAAAGAAAATTGTACAGGACTAGCGTCTGTCGGTCCTCCACAACTCCAGAGTTGTAGTCCTAGAGATGGTGTAATACATTAGCTCGAGATGTTATCGGACATGGCTTAGAGTAGAAAACCAGCGGTGGTCCTATTGTGATTGATTTTTATTTTTTTCACATGGTTAAGAATGAAAGAATTCTTTCTGTTTGTATTTCTCTTAACTTAATTGTTTTTCCCATTATTTTATTACTACTATTTCATTCTCATATAGAAAGCAGTAAAAAAATAGTGAAAATACTTTATTCTGCATATATGATTCTAATTGCATTCGTATTAGTTATAAGAACAAAAAGTATCAGATTTTCATGTTTGTCTGTCACGACTAGTGTAAAAAAAACTTTCAAAAATCACTTTCTTGTGTTAGTTTTTATTTAGATTGTTATTTTCATAATCCTTTTTAGTTCATAATGGACGAATCTTCTCTAGCTAAAATAATTGAAATTCTAATGTGTGCAATTCGTATATCTTCTCAAGAAATAAGGAATATAAATAACAAAAGAGAAGATTCTGAAGAAATATCTGAAGAACCTGCTGTTTTATCGCTGGATATTTTCATTAAACTGGTTACAACTTTATCTAGTTATGGTTCAAAGTTCAATGGTATGCGTTTTCATTTATTCATTCATTCATCTATTCAGATAAAATTATCCAGTGTGTTTGCTCTTGTTGATAAAATTGATCATAATTTTAAAAATATTGCATACAGCTGGTCTTAAATTTTAAATTTTTAAATTGCCTTATTTCTTATTGCTAGTTTCTTGAAATAGAGATAATGAAATGTGATTATTTTTTTAAATTTTATTTATTTTAACAGATCTTCCTAGATTATTACTCCAACTTTTTGATCTACTTAGAGCTTTTCCAACTACATTAGCACATTCAGAAGCTCGTTTACGTGCATGGTGGCATTTTATCTGTTGTTTAAATCCAGATTTACTTAGTGATGGTTTTAGAAAGGTAAGTTACAAATTAATTGTTAATACCTTCACATATAATTAGTTGTGTGTTATCATTGTTTGTAATTGAGGTAGATATTTTTTTAATAATTCTGTTTATTGGTCAGTATATCTATTTGCAACAATTTGAAGTTTTTTTGAAGTGTAATTAGTGAATTCTGACTTTAGTTTCCGAAAAGGAATTATATATACTCACTAGTGGCTAGCTTCGTGAGGGTTCTAGTGAGAAGCCGTGACCAATGGAGTTCAACCATGGTGATTATAAGGCAGTTACCCACAGAAGACATTTGCATTTCGTATTTTAGTCGTGATATATAGTGTGGTATCTAGCTATTGTTTTAATTGTTAGCTGATCCCTTTCTTTTTCACCTGTAACTAACATAATATTCAACGTAATGGAATAATGATATTAAAGAATACTTGTTTTCTCCAGCTATTTTCTCATTAGAGACCAAAAAGCTTAATTATAATCGTGATTCATTTGTTACAGTTTTGAAGTTTTGAATATATATAGTTTCGCAACTGATTGGTTTGAAGCCTTTATTGATTTAAAATATTAGTTGGATTCATTTTTTTTGAGAATCATCAGCAGTAAACTAATTGGTTGAATTGATCTTGATGACATTTATATTATGCATTAAGTAATAGTATTCCTTTATTATCTAGTCGATATTTGTCCAACCTTTTTGTTCAGCTACTATGAACACCCGTCATTGTTTGCTTACAAATGCATATGATCAATCTTTTATAGATCATTTATCTTATTTTTCCACGATATTTTGTTTTACAGTTTTTATCCCCGTTTCTGGCAAATCTTTTGGGACGTTACTTGAGCATTAGTACTCCTCAAGGAGATCGTGAGTTTTCGGACAGAAATGCTATAGATATTCACATTTCTTAAACAAAATCAAAACTTTTATTAAACAGTAAACTGTTGATTTAGATTTGGGCTTTTTTATTTGATTAGTTGTAGTAAACTTATTTGTCAGAGATGCTCGTATTTAATGTACTAACTGAAGACTGTTACCCCAAATAGAGCATAGGTCGCCGACCGGCCAAACAATTACTATTCATTCTTTTTATGTCTGTCTCCGATTCTCGGCGCAGTGTATTCTTTCGCCTACTCCTTTTCCTTTAACCTTGAGGCTTCCATGTTAGGGCTTGCCCCGCGATGCAGTTCGGGGATTTCCTCAAAGTGTGTCCTATCCACTTCCAGTGCTTTCTCCTAATTTCTTCCTAATCTTGAATCCGGTTTGCTTTCTCCCACAGTAGGTGGTTACTGATGGTGTACGGCTAACAGACCCGGCTTATTTTGCGTAGACAACTGTTAATAAACACTTGTATTATCCTTATTCTATGTATCTTTGTTTAAGCACCTAGGTAATATGCTAAATAAAAAGCATCTTCACATGAAATAAAGTTTATCCTGTAGATGAGTAGATGAATCTGTTTCTGATTACCAAGTTATATGCAATTTATACACATCTAAAGAGCATTGCTAGATTTCAATAATTAGTAGAAACATACGTCCATCTTAGTTATGCAGTAGTTTAGTTTTTGGTATATCAAGTGTTAATAATCAAATAGATCTCAGTCAGTTAGTTGCAATATAGAACTTGGTACGTAAGTTCTGTACATTTTCTTCTTGCAAGCAGTAAAAGTTTGACTTGACAGACTGTTGTGCGAAGTTTCACAATATCTTATCTTTTATGGTTTACCAACCGCTTGTAAATGATTGCATCATTTATGCATCTGTTTCTTTTATCAGTTTAGTAATTTATTTGTTTGGCCGTTATTGTTTCGTTAGTATGATTATTTCCTTTATCTTATCAAGTGTTTATATTTTTTAATCTTATTTATTTAGCTCAACTTCATCCATACAAACTTAGTCAAGGAAATGTTTATGAAGGAAATGTAAAAGCATTAGAACTTGTTCAGCATGTATATAGTTGTTTTTTCAATGAGTCATCAGTTACATTTCACCAGTTAAACAGTGAGTTTGATATCTTCCGTAATCCTATCCAGGCAGCTTATGAATTTTTCTATGATCTAAATACGTATAGTCAGTATTCTGTTTGACTTGTAGATGATCTCTTTTTGTCTCGAATCGAATTGTCTAACTGTTTTAATTGAGTTCATGGTTCAAAACATGTTTCAATTTCTGTGTAGTATTTTTACACTTTAAAATCATCAACCATTCATTGGTAGACCACCATTAGAAACCTGGAAGCACTAAACGGCGGTTTCGTCCTAGTATGGGACTCATCAACAGTGTGCATCCACGACTCCTGCACCTCGCAGGATTCGAACCCAGGACCTTCGGTCTTGCGCGCAAACGCCGGACTTCTGTACCACTGGGCCGGCATCCATAACAGGACAAAACGGCCGTCCAGTGCTTTCAGGTCTTTATTAGTGGTTTAACAATGATTGATTGGTGATTTCAATGTGTAAAAACACTGATATCCATAACTCTAATTGAAAAAACGTGTAGTACCTTGTTTTTAGTAAATTAAATGAATCGTTTTGCTGATGCTAAATGGAGTTCAGGAAGCTCACTGAATCGTGAAAACTCTACAGTATTTAAAAACTGATTGATCGATAAATACGTTGGGGCATACATATAAGAAGTTTATAATACAATCCTATTAAGTCAATCAGTCACTAACTGGTGAAAAGATTTGTTATTTAAAGTTGTATTGCAATTGTTGAAAATTTGTGGTTGGTCGTAATTTTGACAATGATGATATTGATCGTTGATTTGATTGAAACATAATGCAAACTGATTGTTGATGTAAAGCGTCATAAGTAGACTATGTCTATCATTGTTCTATGACTGATGTTGAAATGGTTTTCGATAGTTGAATTGATATATGTTGTACTATTTTTTTGTTAGTTCTTATATCTAGACATGGTTTATTTTTTATTCTTTACTAAGTTCCCCGCTTATCCGTCAGTAATAAACTATTAGCTCAAAACAGTTATCCACTAATGGTTGGCCTGTTATACTGGATACGTAGTGTTTGCAAATATCGTTGCTCATCATCTCAGGAAAAGTTGAAAATTCCTCCTCATTGTTTACCTTCTGAAAGTGTTGATATAATTTGGTGTGGTTGTGTAAATTATTTACTTAAAATATCAAAATCACTTCAAGAGTCGCTAACACATAAAAAGGTATGTTTGGTTTTGCATTGTATAAGATATATTTACACTAAGTGGTTGCTTCATTATTTTGTTGTTGTTGTAATAAGCATATCATCATCTGGATCGAAACACTTTTATTTTCAAGAATCTTAACTTTTACATCAGTTAGATTTGTAACTAATCTGTACTAACCAGTTTACCACAGAACTTTGAATTTCGCTTAAATTATACTGTAGTTTTGAATACCCGCGAGAAACATCACGAGGATTTAAATTATGAACCATTCACTCTAGATTACAAGTGGTTTATGGTGCTAAGTATTCTCAGAGTGAGCTAATTAAATATATTTTTTCTGATGTAACTTTCAAAACAATTACGGCCTGGTATATTGTACATATTCAACAAACCTTTTAGTTACTGTAATCTACATCATTTCTTCATCTATAGAAAGTATTCATCGATTTATATAAATTTGGTTTTAAGCGTGATAGTTTTAGAAGAATTATCTCGTAGGATAGGCTTTTTCTGCGCGAGTCACTTTGGCTTATTATTTGTTTTTGGTTATTGTTCTAGTAACATTCACCGTTTGTATTTTATATGAAGGTTACTCCATTTCAATCCCCATCACTCACTGTTCGTGTTTCGAATTCAAGCTCAGCATTTTTAACTGTTTGGCAACACGTTGTGACTGTAACTTGTGAATTGATTCAAGCTCATCACTCGCTTACATCTGATCTGGACACAACAGAGCATTGTCCGTCTCCATCAGAAAGCTTGGTTAGTGAAATATTCTTTTTTTATACCTTCCAGAGCTTTGTAAATGGTTCAGATAAATAGGATTGCCTATCCTAGTCCTACTTTTAATCAGATTTCTAACTAACAGCTTTTCTCAGATTGAGTAATCTTTTTTTCAGTGACTATTTTGCATACCAAAGTTATGGGAAGTTATTTCTCATGCAATTTCAAAATATACCCGATTGGTGTTGATAGTCTTATCGACTTGGAACAGTGACTTTGACCGTAGCTGCTACCTTGACGTGATGGTTGGACTTGCCTATTACGATGACTTGGCCGAGCTTTATTCACTGGAACACATGTTCCTTTAGATCCTCCAATACCAGGCAGGTCGATTGGAGAACGGTAAGATTAAAAGCAGCAACTTAAGGTTTGAGAGTGAAGTCTTACTGCTTGCGGTAGAGGGGTGTATCATCAGTAAGGTATTTCTCTCGGACATCCAGCATCTGCAGCGATGCTGCCTCCTCACAACGTTAGGAAGGGGTCGAGAAAAGGTTGGCCCCAAAATGACCACACGTCACCTTACCTGACTGATTCCCGTCTTTGTCGGTTAGACATTTTGAAGGGCAGATCTAACACGTTAAAAATTTCCCACAAAATGACCATGATTTTAGAGACAACACTTTCATCGTTTCACTTTTCAGGAGTTGTTGACCTACCAGGAGACTCGCTTGTTTACTTAGAATATGCCGACGACCTAGTTCTACTTGGTGAAGAAGCTGACAAAATGTATGTCTGGAATGCGATTCTCCCCCTCGAAATGCGAAATATTGCTTCAAGATTGGGTTACATCGTCACCTGGACTAGTGATAAGGAGTGAAGTAGTTTGGCGTGTCGACTGCTTCACTTATGTTGGCAGTCTCATCAATGCTGATGGCCTTGTGACAGACGAAATCTCAGCATGGATACAGAAGATTCAACTGCCTTTTGCCAGCTTGAAAGAATTTTATTAAGATAAGATATTGTTTATCAAAACACCTAATACAGAAAACACAAAATCAACGAAACAATTATTAATAGCTAGATAAAACACTTTGAATGATATCAAATTCTTTGTTATGATAGGGCAAACTTTTTATTTTCTGACTGAGTTTTTAGATGGTAATTAATTCGACTCTGCCACTCTGTTCACATATGCGCTTATTGTTTCCAACCCTTTTACCATATTTCTTGTATAAACTTCCGGAAATTCTCTTTGCCATCTGTCACATTCACACACATCACAAGGAAATCAAATAGATCATTCAAACGCTTATGCCAATCGCAAATATTAAGAATCGAGAAATTAATTACTCAAAATCAAACAGGACGACTGATTTTTATTTAGTGATTTAAGTAATTGTTTAACTTTCATTATTTTGAGTCAGCAGCATAAAGAGAGTCCTTCTTAAAATGATAATCATTAGTTGTATCATGATTAGATGTTATGGATTTGCTTACGATTACAAATATACTGTTTATTTACTGTTCAAGTAGTCAACAAAGTGTTCATTCAATTTGTTTCTTAAGAAAAGAATTACATTTTATTCTTATTATTGTTGTTTATAAAAGTCACCATGTACGACTGACTGCTACCTTATAAACTTGTTTCTCCTTAAGTATACAGTTTTTCTGGTCATTTCTGTTTTGTTTATTTTTTCTTAGAACATAACTCAAAACCTTATTCAGTTGTTAGAAGAAATCAAACTTCCAGATAAAGAAAAGGTAAGCTTTTGCCTGTTAGTATCACACAACTGTAATGTAAATAGTTTTCGTATTTTTATAGATTCGGTTTATGATGAAATCGTTGTATTAGTTCGAGTTTCATCTATGTTAATTCTTCTAACAATAGTATCGATGCTTTAGCTTTGATTGATTATAGCGATACCTTCCATTGATTCAAACGCATTGGTCAGTCAGTTGCAACGTAGAACTTCGTACGTATGTACATAAGTTCATGTTGCCATACCACATTAGCACAGAGACGCAAATGTCAAATCAAATCCCATAGTGATAGAGATAGTAGAGGTATTAATGGTAATGAAGAAGACTAAGGTTTGAAGATATTATTCAAGAAGTATAATTCAGTGAGATAAGGTTAGAAAGACAAAGGTAGAGGTGCTGACGAATCCAGGTAGCCTACATCTACCAACATGACTCAGTCCACTTATCAGTGACTTCATGGATTTGTGCCATGTTTTGGTTTGGCCGCCCCTAACTTTCTTCCAACCTACTTCTACACCACAAAACATAGCTCGACGAGGCAGTCGGTGGTTAGGTATACGCAACACATGTCCCAACCACCTCAACTGATGAAGTTTCATTACTTCATCTATTGACCTGCCATCCTTACCTAGCACCCGTTTCCTAACAACAGCATTGCTTACTCGGTTATCCCACGATATACGAGCAATGCTTCAAACGCATATTCTTCAGTCAATTTGTTACAGGCTTACATTCCACTCTCTGTGTTTTTTTTTGCACAACTATATCGTATCATTTGTTCTTCTAGAAAAAAATGCAACCCAAATCCGACTATTTTAACAGGTGTTTGGTAATGATAAATGACAATAGTATTATTAAGTATTTCTAATATGGTTAACCTTTTCATTTTCATGAAAAATTCGGTTCACTACACTTCGTTCTATCGGCTAGATAGTTTAGCTGTGAAGCTTTCATTGTTTCTCTGAATAATATCATCAACACAAACCTGCGATGGAAGTGAAGTATTAGCACTTTTCCGTTTGAAAGATAATATCTACCTGTCAGTGAATAGCTTAGTCTTTCAGACTCTGTTCAGTGAATATATCTATGAATCAAAATGATGTAGTGATTTATGAATATCATCAGCATTTAATAGCTTCATTCAGTTACTTCAGATATACAGACCTTATATATATTAGAGACAACTACACTAAATCCAAAGTAGATATATATTGCCTTAGAAAAGTGCATGAGTAAATCGATGAATTGAATTTTTTGTTCTGTACTCTTCGAAAGGGAAGAAGAAGTCATTGAATTTCTCGTGAATCATTCAACTGGCCACTGCTCACATGGCTCTGTTCTCCCAGTCTGTTCACTTGTAATTACACATCTGTATGTATACCCTTTCGCCATTGAACATTTCAACTTCATTGTCTTTTTTTTGTCTTTTGTTTAGATAAGTTGGTTATTGATCACAAGCACGGATTAATAGTTGAACTAAACTCAATTTGTGATTTATATTTTATGAATTTAAATTGTTCACAATCTCTAAAGTCTTAAGCAATCGTAACAGATCTTACAAATGTTATTTTATGCATATATTGCTTTTTTCTACATTTTACTTTTAGATTGATTTAATATCAACTCTATGTATAAAATTTACAGAACTTGGAGGTTTCTGGCTAAAAGAAAAGTCAACACATAAAAATTGTCATGTTTCTAAGTTAGTTTTTATGCTCACTTGCCTTTATGAATTATATTTGTAGGCGCAAGTTTATTTTGTATTCAATAATTATTATCCTCAATGATCGATCAGTGGTTCTTTTGGGGGAGATTATTATGTTATTAAGAGTTTGATAATCCATAAGCTGTTCAGAATAGGTTAAGTACAATAGTTAAAGTATCTGTGAAAATCCTTCCCCCCCCTCATACTTTCGATGTTGCTTTTGTTAGCTGAAGTGAAGGATGGCTCATGTTAGTGATCAATTGTAGTGTTTTACTACTGGTTCCAAGCCATGTATTACATATAAATTGGCAAAAATACTCATAGATTATCAAACTTTAGATTTTTGCAGGGGATTTAAGCTCTTCTGGATCTCGATAGATCATACATTCATCTAAGAGCATTTAATTATAGATTTTCGACTAATTTTTGGTTGTCACTAGCCATCTGATTTCTTTTACATACGACTGTAAACCTGTACTGTGTATTATGGATACTAATTAATAATAAATCACATATCATAAAATTTTTCCAATTTGTTTCGACGTTTTTTTCTACGGTCTAACTGATAAGTTTTCCTTAAAATTTCAGAGATGATTTTCATCGTTGGAGTACTCAAATTATTCGCTTAATTGATATGGAGCCTCGCTTAAACTTGTCCAATAAATCGATTACAATGAATATTTTACGTTTAACTGGAGAACTCAATTTTATCAATTTGATCCGTTCACTTTTAAATGCAATATTATCAGATTTTGTAGAATTCATATCAACCAATGCTTCTTCACAGTCAAGTTTATATGATGATTCAACTCAACTTTCTCTTTCAAATTGTAATTTTTTCTTTACTGCTCATTTAATTAAATAATATTTTTTTTGTTTTAATTTCCTTAAGTGTCTCATGATTTGGTTTTTCAGTGAAATTTTAACAGTTTATTTGAGACCAGTTAAATCTATCATAATATGTTGCAATGCAATGTGTATAACCTGTAAGAAAGTTAGGGGCGGCCAGACCCAAACATGACAGCAATCCATGAAGTCATTGACAAATGGACTGTATCACGTCGGTAGGTGTCGACTACCTGGTTGGAGTCCGCGAGATGATAATAATCGATGGTTAGAGACCTTGAATGACATGGCTCAAAACCATATGCTATGGCGCCGGTGCATTTATTCTTTGTGTTCTCTCACATCCTAATCTTCTGGATTCTTCAACACCTCTAGTTTTGCCTTTCTAAACTTATCTCACTGAATCATACTTCTTGAATAATATCTTCTAATCCTAACCTCTTCGATTACTTTTAATACCTTTACTACCTCTACTACAATTGGATTTGAATCGACAGTTATATCTCTGTGCTGATGTGGTATGGCGACATGAACTGATGTACTTACGTACAAAGTTCTGCGTTGCATCTGACTGACTGTAAGATGATGACAGAAATTTTATCCCATTATGCATTGGCTTAGTTTGGGCTCTTTATTCGATGAAAAGAAAACGATCTATACAAAATTTCAAAAATTTGGAATTTCGTTTTTAATGCCCGTTGAAATGTTGCTAATCTGCTTATTGCTTTATTTATATTCTCATTAAACAAGTTATTTTTCTATACCCGTACAGTGAAATTTCGCATTTGAATAAAACCTACTACTGACCAGTTTTTAAGTAATATAATTTACTAAACAGCTTGTTTTATTTATTTATAACATCAGGTCCTCCAGTTCATTTTTCTCCTGATGCCCTACGTGTATGGTCAGTGTTGATTGACCGACTAACTCAGTTTATTTTAAATGAGCATCAAGTATCTGAGAATCAGTCATCTACAAATATCGACTTGAGTACTGTTGAATCTGCACTACTAATGCCATTCTGGTTGGCTGGGGCTTCACGTCTAAACACAGTCGACGGTAATAATGATAGTTCATCTAATACTTCTGAGGTATGTGATAGTCTTGTTTTGAATATTTTACATTGGCTTTTATTTGAACAGTGATTTAATAGATTTAATAAGTTTTTCAAGGCTTTTATTCAGTTTGACCATACGCTTAATGTTAGTGGAATAATTATTACTAATCAGAGAATGGCCGATATTTATTGCACCCTTTTCTATAAATCCTGCTCATTATTGTTATACGATGTAATGGTTTGTGTATATTAGTGCCCATAAATTGATGTAAGAACTAAGATTTTGATGGTTCGATTGATAGATTCATAGGTGAATGTCATTCAGAAATCAACAGTCAAGATATAAAATTTATTTAAAATAAGTTTAATGTACAAACGTCCATTGCTTTCAGGTTTTTAATAATGATCTAGCCAAGATCAGTTTGATTTCAACTATGAACTCATTACCATCTCCATAAATTGTTTTTGTGCTAAAAATAAATTAATTTATGAGAAACTGCTTACTGTCAATGAGCTTCAAATAGATAATTAGGTCCCTGCCCAGTGGTAGTTTAATTAAAAGATTTGGTAATGATAGACAGATACAACGCAGAACTTCGTACGTTAGTACATCAGTTCAGGTTGCCATACCGCATTAGCAGAGAAACTCAACTGGTAGAGATAGTAGGAATATTAGAAGTAATAGAGAATATTAGGGTTCGAAGAGACGATTCGATAAGTATAATTCGGTGAGATAAATTTAGAAAGCGAAATATAGAGATGATGAATTCAGAAGGCTAGAATTAGAGATAACACAAAGAGTGGATGCACTCGAGTCATTGCAAAAGTTTTTGAGCCCACCGTAGCGGCTACCTTGACGTGGTGTTCGGGCTTGCCTATCGTGATCACCCAACCGAACTATATTGGCTGCAACTTACGTTCCTGAAGGTTCTACCATGCCAGACAGGTCGATTGGAGAACGATGATACTAAAAGCAGCTACTCAACGTCTGAGTGCGAAGTCGTACTGCTGACTGCAGAGTGGTGTGACAGCAGTAAGAGGTTTCCCTCGGACAACCAGCATGTGCAGCGATGCTGCGTTCTCACAAGGAAGGAATAGAGCGGTTAGAAGGGATCAACCCTAAAAATGTTCCACCCCACCCTACCTCATGAATTTCCGTCTTCTTGGGTAAGGGTGCCCACTAAGGGCTTTTAAAAAGAGCGAAGCTAATACTCAAAAAACTTTTCATAAAATGGTCGTGCGTGACCGGCCTCAAGCAGTTGTCCCTTGGGCTCTGTGGTCACGCTTTCAGGTCTCTAAGACCGGCACTAATCTATCTTCCTTTTCAGGTTCCTCAAGAAACGACCTTCTACGGTATGGGCATTCGGGAATTGACATCCGCCCTCATACGCGTAACAGCACACAAGACTAAAAAGATTTGGTGCTTTAATCCTATCAATTAATATTGAATACTTTATTTTCAATGAATATTAATTTGTGAATTAAAATTTCGTTTATATTATATTTTTATCTTAAATTATTTTCCTCTGTTATTTAGTACCTTTCACTGAAAGATAATTTGGCTATATCATTACGTCAGTCTAATTTATTTCATGCATTTCATCAGGAATGTTGTTTATTGACAACAGTTCCGACAAATGCTTGGATTAATCAACTATCTATCAAACTATCCACACTTATTTCCAATTATGCACCAAAGGTATGTTTTATGCATAAGTAATTAGAATTGTATATTGCAACACCTAGTATTGATTTGTAATTTAGGCTAAGTAATACAATTTTTGTGATTCTCTTCAACTTATAATTGATTCTCAATAGTTTATTAACAGAATAATACAAAACTTTATCAACTAATTGTATTGTATTAGCCTAATATCAGTTTCTTTTCTCTTCAGTCAACTAAAATCGAATCAGTGATGTTGTTTCATTTTATATCTTAAGGCTTTTATTGTCATTTCTAAAAAATATTATGCTTAAATAAAGGCACATATACATGTTTGTGTACATTATTTTCAATGTCAAATAGTATTAGAAAAATTTTCAAAGTTGATTGTCTGTGTTGTAAAATAAACATTGATAAAAGGGAGTTAAACATACTCTTCACTAACATTCGTTTATACGGAAGCAGTTTATGATTTTTTTCTATGGTTCGTATAAGTTAAAAGTAGGGAGTCAGAGCATACTTAGTAAACTTAACCACTCAGGTAGAATCCCAGCCCACAAACAAACTCAATGATTCGTGTGGCGTGTATATAGATTTATATAGTGCCCTTTTGTACCGAGTTTTATATGTTTGAATAAACAAACAAATTAGTGACTACCACACTATCCCATGTTTAACTAAATCAACTACTGATATTGAGTTGAATGAATGAAATTGTAGTAGTAAGTAGTCGTTTTTTTGTAGCAACAACCTACTGTAGGAGAGAACAAACCAGATTATAGGTGAGGAAAAAAATTAAGAAAAAGCTTTGGAGGTAGATAGGATACACTTTACGAAAAGCACCTAACTACGTTTCAAAGCAAGTCCTAACTTGGAACCCCCAAGGCCATAAGAAAAGACGTAGACCAACGGACACACTGCACTGAGAATTGAAGACGGGCATAAAAAGAATAAATAGTAATTGTGTGGAAAGGAAGGCCCAGGACAGAGTTAGTTGGAGAACGGTTGTCGGTGGTCTATGCTCTATTAGTGTTAGCGAGCGTTATAATAGTTGAATACTTATTCAGTTAATACATATCTAGCTATCCTTCTATCTAAAACTGTTCAGTCGTCTTCTAAATGATCTTTTCTTCCAGGCTACATACCAACAATCAGTACATTCAATGTTTAATGTCATTTTCATATAAGTACACTTGATTTCTTTTGCACAGTTAGTGTCTTACACTGGGTAGTTGATTTCAACTATTGCCTAACTTGGCTATAAACCATCTTTTTCAATCTGATAATCTTTTAAATTTGTTACCTTTATTTTGAAACTCTTCAAATTTAAGTTCTTTTCTTGTTGAATCACATATTTTTCTTATTTCCATATTTTATTAATAATATTTAGTATCAGCGTTATCGATTACATGTAAAAATTTCTCTCTCAATGTTGTCTTCTCAATACACATTTTAAGCAACATCTATTTCTCAAAAGATATGTAAACTAATTCGTTAATTTAAATATGAAAACACTATTCTATGAAAGAAGAATATTGTTTTGTTCTTTCAATAACTTCTCTTCTCAAGCTCAACAATTATACGTTCACATTAATAATTCAAAAGTGATCAGCTTTTTAAGCATAAATACATTGTTTAAAATTGTTGCATGTGAATAAAGGTTGTTTTTAGCATAAAATAAATTGAAATTGTCGATAGTTAACTAATACAATAAGCGTATATGTAAAAAATGAAATTGTGAAATAAATGATCAGCAGAATAAATATGGGTCAGATTAGGATAAGAGAAATAATAATAATGGGAATGCAAATTGAATCAAACGTTTGGTAGCTGAATATATAATATATGAAGTGTATATATATATATATATTCAGTAAGAAATAATAGAGTGGAGTAAGTGCTAAGTAAAATGATTGACTTATACTGCTGCTATAAGTTTGTACTTGTGTTGAATTATTAGTTTTGTATCTAAAAAATTAATAGGACCCAAAAAAAATTTCTTGATGCGAATGTTCTTCGTTTATATATTTAGTGTTTTAATATTATAAGAATTTTCAAACAATCTAATTACTCTTATTTTTGGCAAATTATCAATTTGTTTTTTAATTTTTTTTTTCTAATAGGTGATTGAAAATGTTAATTTACATTTAATTAGTCGCTTTGTGTATTGTTTATCTCAAAGTGCAGAAATTTCTGAGGAAAGGGGTAATAAGAAAGGTATGTTTAAGGATGCAATGTGATTTCAATTTTTTCATTACGTTTACTTGTTTCGCCTTGCTTCGTAATACTGTAATGCTTCGCCATTTAATTTTAGATGCATATTATACATTTGCTTCAGTAAAAATTGATGCTCAGCCTCTTGGTCAACTTACTGGATTGGTTAGCTTGCTGAATTCATTACTGTTATATATACCATGGCTTCATCCTCCAACACAAAGTGAAGTAAGTAAATAATTGTAAATATAGGGTTATAAAGATTGTTGAATTTCATTTTAGGTGCTCATTAATGACTAGCTTTGTGAGGAAATTCTCTCAGTTCTAGTGAGAAGCCGTGACCACTGGAGTTTGACTGTGTCGGATGTGAGGCAGTCATACACCGAAGACAATGGAAGATAGTTGCGCAATGTCGTGGACTGACTAAAGTTAGACATTAAAAACGTCAAATACCGGCTTAGTAGTCTAGAGACTTGGCTTGAGTTCCTGGATTTCAATGATATTCTAATTTAGATCGGTTCAGGATTCCATTGATAGTAGATAATTGGTTGTGTCCCTGCTTTCTTGACAAATAGCAAGTATCGACCAAATATTTACCCTTAGAAAGGTTATGAAACATAGGCATAGTTACTCATCACTATCTTTAGTTGTATTTGTTTACGTTATTTTTCTATCAAATCCTACTTTATAATGACTGACTGACTTCCGAATTCCAATATTACTGTAGTTCCTCAGTCAGTTATTCATAGAAAACAAATGTCTCGAATCCCATTAATACCCCCTACATATAAGCTACATTGATTACATAAAAGTTGCCAGATATATAATCTACTAGGAAAGTATTGACTGTATGTTAGGTTTTAGTTATTTGTTGTTGTACTTCAAGTCTGGCTTCACAGAGTAGCCACTACATCATATCCACAGGCTTGAGGGCTCTGATTTGAAACGAACGGGTGCTCTGGTACTTTTTTCCAATTTTACCAATTACTGGATCGATAGCTAAGCTGATCAATAATGTTTTTCTTTAAGTATCAATATTTTTTTTAATGTTTGTGTAGTAATTTATGCCTTAGGCGGCACAATGAACTGTAATTTATAAGATATGTAAATGTAACTGTTAACCGATCATAATTTCTAGTCATGTTATATTCCTCAAAGCATTGAATTGCTGGAATTAATTTAATGTGACTAAATCCGATACGTTTTGTAATTTTGCTGATATATTCATATATAATGCATATGCTATATATACATATTATTTCCCTTCCTCTTCTTTTTCCCACTTATATCCTAGTTCTCTTCATATTTTTGTTTAGCATACAGAAAAGAGTGGTATATGTCTGTTGAAACATTTTTTGATAAGTAGCAAATAATCAATTGTTTAGTAATGAGCATTAATCGACGAATGTCATTTATGACAACTCTCTAAAAGAACATTTTAGCTTGTCACTTGGAGATGATGTTTTTTAGTCGTAATGACAAATAATCAGTTAAACTTTATTTTCAAGAACAAGTGTATTGTGATATGGCTTTTATTTGCACACACACCCACACTTCTTTCCCTTATTGTTGTGCTGTCACATAACTATTTCATACTTAATCGTCTAAGTGATTTCTTATAACCTTTTGTCCTCAATACCATAACTCCTGAGTTTCTTAAGGATGGTGGTCCAGTTTTAGCAGTTAGATTAACTGAAATCTTAGGTAGAATCTGGGAACTGGACGTAATCCTATCCGACAGGTCTCAATTCTGAATTATAATATCTTCGATCACTAATATTCTCCATTTCCAGTAATTCTTCGACTATCTGTACCATTATGGGATTCGAACGGACTGTTGCATCTATGTGCTAATGTGGTATGGCAACCTGAACTGATGTGCTTATGTACGAAGTTCTACGTTGTAACTGACTATTATGTATTAATGATGTAATCTCGATACTCCTGTCGTTTGATTGAAAACACAAAAGTATGGAAAATGTCCAATTGAAATAATTACATTCGGTTTGAAAAGAGAAAGAAGTAATCTATTCATATCCCACAAAAAGATATACTTGAACGTCAGCATAATTTAATTATTAGTTTATATTTCTATTTACAGAATGATGATTCAACTCCCTGCTATTTAAGCACCCAGGAATCAGCTACTCAATGGTTGACATCTCCTCCTATTATATCCATTCGTTCTCGAACAAATCAGTTGGTTGATGAGAAGTCTGCCAATGGTGTTCGTTCCATAAATAGACCTGCAAACAGTAATCAAGTCTCTTATGGTTTGTTTGATGCTTTAGAGACAGTTGTATATCTTCTTAATGTAAGTTGTTTATATTTTTATGTATATATATATTGTTGGAAGCAAGATTTATTGTTTAAAAGACAATTGAAAACAAAGAATAGTCATCTTTTTAACTTGTCGACTTATAAACAAGCATCATCAACAAATAGCCTTGTAGAAATTTGTATTGGTTTGAGTTACCATACCCGTTTTACACGATGAAATGGGAATAACAAAACAAATCGAAGTAATTCAGTATTATTGATAAAAGGAAAGACTTAAACCTTTATAAAATGTTTTGAAAAGACAGTGGAACCGTGTATATAGAGGAATAGGGGGAATTCAAGATCGATAGGAAGGTAAGGCATGGGATGCATTTGTATTACTGTAATTGATTCTGAGACATCGTCCAGTCACCGAACACTGGTTACAATTATCATGCGAACCTTAATCAGGTAGGTAATCTGTATCTATTGGTTTGGTACGGACCGATGGTCATTGACTTCATGGATGTGGTCTCTCCTTGAAAGTTTACTTCACTCTAAAATTGATAGAATGTTTATGTTACTAGTGTCTTATGTCAGTCAGTCTGAAAAACTCTGAAAACTCTTTATGTTTTGAAGACTCTTTGAATAAAATTGTATTCAAGTATTACTTACAGATTGACATTTGGAAAATATGCACAGGAAAATTGAAGTTTGTTGAGTGATTAGATTATCAGAAATTCTACAATCTAAACCTTTTTCTATTTTTCTAGTCATTTCATTTGTCTCTTCTGATTCTTTGTATAAAAAGTTAGGTATTTTACGAAATCGAAAAAAAGTTGTAAGATAGATAGTAAAAATTTCAACATATTTTAGTGTGATACGCTTTCAGGTGAGCGTACATATACATACATATCTAGTGGTTTATTTTATAGAATTTCATTTGACTGTAGAATAAATTCAATGTGTTAATTTTGATACTGAATTGAAACTGTCAGAAGCAATATTTCAACCTCTCTTGAACAACTTCAATTTTTAATGTTCCATGCATAAAAAAATGTTTTATGATATTCTCTTGAATCTTTAGAGATGTATTCTCATGACTACTTGTTCTGTTATGGATTAAATCCAGATTTTTATATATCTTCTAGATTGACTCTCTTTGTGTGTACCTTTTCTATCTCTCATCTGTGTGCAAATCGAATTCATACTACTTAAAGATGATTAATAGAACATTTGAGAAAAATTCCTCTGTACATGTATCCAAATGAAAACAGTTCAGTATGAAAATTGAAATTTATCAAACTGAAATATATCAATTAAGCGCTTACAGATTAGTAATCTTAAATAACATTTCATGTGGCCTGCGATACTCTGCAGGACAAATTAATGAGAGCAGTTAATAGATCATTAAATGCAGTCAAACTTGCGTTGACCTTCTCAAGTCGACCAGCGATGTTTACCAAAACGAAGGGTAAGTTACCTGAGTTGGCCTCCTCTATGTGCATTTACAAATTAAGCCGCTCCTGTGGAGATAGCTATATCGGGCGTACTACCAGACAACTTAACCAACGTATGAGTGAACATCTCTCAGCATGGTTTAAGAAGGGTCAGTCAAAAATAATACGCGGTTCGATCTTAGCACACCTGGTTAATAGTGGTCATATTGTAGATAAGTCTAGATCTTTTTGGGTGATCTATCATTTCATATTCATCATTACTATTATGATTGTTTTTTTTTTCGCCATTAACAACCATTTAGAATCATTTTCATGGTACACATTCTGTATTATCAATGTTTTCCACATTGGAGTCAAGTTTAACTCGTTTGGTTGATTGTTGTGTAAAAGCTGAAAAAGCTGTAATTGAAGCAGGAACCGATTTAGATGAACCACTTTTAATTACTCAACATAGACAACAAGCTAAATTAGCAGTAAGTCATATTCATGTAATTGAGTAAAAATTTGATTTTTAATGCAATTCAATCAAAATAGTATTTTTTTTTTAATTATTCAAGGTAATAAAATTAGTATCATTGTATCATTGGTATGCATGCACAAGTGATTTGCTTGAAACTATTACGAGTTCATCTTAGTCGGTAAACGGAGCGCAGATAAAGGATACAGAGACACAATAGGCCATTCTATTCCGTTTGTCCCAGACCCTGCTAACTAGATCAAGAAGTCTTGATAAGGCGTAGAGAATGTATTCTACAGGCACCTAGAAAATACGAGGTTGCTAAGCGCACAAATTAGTCTTATTTATACTATGATAGCAACGCCCTTGGGAGAGCCACAAATTAGTGTACTAACATAATCCATCAACCGATGACAGTCAAGGATTTCCGAATGGGAAATGTAAGCTGAAGGTAAAATACGCGTCTTATGCACAAAAACATAAAAAATTCAAAATTTCAAAAGTAAATTATAAAATTAGGCCCTTTTCCAAGTGAGTTCTGGTGATCTAACGATCCCAACAACAAGTCACCTGGTATAGTCTTTGTCTTGAGAGATAATAATGATGGTAAAAATAACAATGATTCCTATTGTCCCTTGTGGTGGCCGATTTTGACGTGTTCTCTTAATCTTCGTAATTAGCTCGTCCAGACAGTCGTTACTAAATGGCGTCTAGACGGTCTATAAATCAGGTGAACTCGAAGTGTTGAATACGTTTATTTTTGGCACACCAGAAATAGATCAGCAAACTACAAGTAGACCGGGCAGGCACACTAGCGACCGAATAGGCGAATGAATAAATGAGATTAAAATGTTCGTATATGTACAAAGAAAAATGTCTGAGTCATCGTGATATTTAAGAGATTAATATTAAAGCGAATGGGATGAATATGCGCGTAGGCAGTAAGCAATGTCCAGTCATACCAGCTCATACAAACCAGACAATAAAAAATACCAATGGTACATATGGCTTGTTGCTATACAAATAGCTTGGTTACATAAGTTAATCGAAAGGCTTAATCAAATTAAATATGAGCGAACTCAATTTTATGTGGAGGCACTACACCGTCATACGTCAATTCATGAATTGAGCTTCTGTCGAAGACATTTTCGATATTATTCAGTAACTCATACTTCAACAAGTTTAGTAGTATATAAATTGTTAGTTAAAGGTTGGTCATTTAATACATTAAGATTGCTTTTAAAAATAATTCTATTCACTTTTTATCATTAGTAATTAGTAGGTTTATATTTGATAAATTCAGTGTTACTGGTTAACTGTTAATATTTGTTTTCATTTTAATTGAAACTCATAATATTCTCAGCTGGAGGAAGTATTTATATGCATTTGGAAACAGATGAAAATTGTCCCGCCTAATGTATCCATCATTAATCCATTGTCCATGTTGCATACAATTTCGAAAAAACAAGATCTCAAAACTTCGGTTACCACTCCTTTGTCTAATTCGGTAATATCTGATGCCATTCATTTGATTGCTCAATATGAAGCTTTACTCAGTTTATCATTCTCATTGTGTGGTTACAATGTGAAACTAAATCAAAAATCTTGTGAATGTGGTAAATATATATGTACATATATAGTCACCTGTTTTTATTTGTCTATTTGTTCTTAAGGTTTACTAATCAATAGTTTGGAGTTGACTTTACAATTAACTGAGGCATTTCAGTAATAATTAAAAGAAAGGTAGTGCTAGTTTGGTTTTACTTCTTTGAATCTTTTCGTCACACAGAAAATAGACTTCCTATTACTTAGAACTTAGCACGTATCATGTTAGCTTTTCATATGTGAATAAACCTACTCGTTAGTTCTAGTTAATTCCTGTTTATCAAAATGCAATGTAGGCTACAAATGATTTGAATTCATAGTGTAGTTCATCTTAATATTAGTTTGAAGGTAGGACACTGTGTATCTGGCTTTCGTGCGCGTTGACCTTGATATCTTTGTCAATCTGATTTCTTCCAGCGTAATGCATGAAATTGTTGATTATATAAACTTTAGAATAGAATTCTTTAGTCTTCTATATCAACTATCAATTATAAATAATCATCTAATATAGACTTAATTAGTAATGATTAGAACTGAAATTATTTTTCTTGATTTTTAATTCATTAACTTTTTATCACCACAGTAAAAACTGAAATATTTTTGTGGACATAAAGTTGAGTGTTTCATATTTTCTTGTATTTATAATAGAACTTCAATCGTCTGTTACTTTTATTACTTGGTTCATCGGTTTTTGGAATCATTTAGTCGATCAGTATTGTATCAATCAAGTTAAAACTGATTCGTCGAAATTTTTAAATTTTCGTGAATTTTTAATTAATTTGGAAGCTGAATTTCAAAAAATTATTACACGAACATTAAATTCAAATATGCAACAATGTACTGACTTGAATTCCAATGAAAAAATCACCTCGAGGCGTAAATCTATTCCTCATAAAACTCCTAAATCAGAACCAATTAAACGTCGGTCTCGTCTGTCGAAAAGACTGTCATCTTCTTCATCTGCTCAATCACCAGTAATTTCTAAAAGTTTAAAGTTAAAAATAGAAGAAAATTCTCCAACTAATTCATTGATAACTGTTACTCCACGTTCTGAAAAAAAATCATCGCATACTAAAGATAAATTGAAGCTAGAGGTAATTTATTCACTATCTTTTTTAATAAAAAAGTAACTTATTTTCTGATATTTGTTAGTTTGCTTTATAATTTATATCTGTTGATAGAGGAAATTGTTATAATGCTGCTACGTAACTATTCAAATCCTACCGACGTCCGAATTCAAATACTCCAATACGACCCAAATACTATTCCCAAATCTCTTGTATATCAGAACGCAACACCGTTGGATGGAGTTGTATATTGGGTCGAGTACAGAAGTGAGGTAGGCAGGAAGGAACGGAGACATGGAGTCTTACACATAGTGCGTATTTATACATTTAGGTCGAATAGGAAAGACACTGACAGTCCGGATGACCAATAAGAGATAACATTGAAGTGTTTGACTTCGGCAGTTAAAACTACCGTAATGTTGACCAATAGGATTATACTTCCAAAAATAGTACTCTTAGGATATTTGGTGAATATCCTAACAGAAATGTGCCTTAAACATTTGTAGGTTTGTGAATTATTGACTATTGATTAGTTCAACTCTTAATTTAACATCTTTTAACGTTTAATTTTAGTTATTGTGTATTATAAATATTTTATTTTCGTTATCGTACTGATTATTGGTTATTTGTTTTTTTTTTAATTTAGAAGTCTCGGAAATCCAATACAAATGTAGGTGAATCATTCTCAGATAATAATGTTTCAGAGAAAAATGACCTTCAAAGACTTTCACCTAACGCTTCTCCTATACGACCTCGTCGAGGGCGTCTTTCATTGATCAAAGATATCAGTCCGATTGAAAAAGTAACTACACCTGTTCAACAATCATGTAAGTATTATTTGTTTATGGTTAGAGAACTGTAGAAGTTTATACTTTTTACTGAGTTTTCATAATTGAAAACTATAGCTTTTTAGATGAAAAAATGATCTTACTATTAAGATCATCATATGTTCAGTGAGATGAATAATTTCTGCATATGTATCATTCACTGAAATGATGTTAAATGTTTTCTTTTTCTTAACGATGACTGTTGAACATAAAATTATTGTACATTAATTATCGTGAATTTATCTGTAGAATTTTAATAGATTTAATTAAAATTGTTGTTATACTATATCATAATTTCGGTTTTTTTTCGCTAAATTTTCATATTAGATTTACTAACAAACTAAAGTTATATAGAGTAAAGAACATTGACATTTTCAATCCGTTGAGAATAAGAGCTCTTACTCATTAATTATCATTCAAAATCACTTTTTACTCTTTTACTCTTGAGTAGAGAACTAGTGAGGATTTTTAAAGAGTAAAACTCTTTTTTGCTTATCAGGAAATTTTTGTTTAAACAATTAGTCAATCGTGCTTAATGAGTTCATATTCCTAATTAATGTTGTTAAGCGTTAAGAAATCACTTATCAATATAATATGATAAGGTCATGAAATTCTTTCTATAATTTTATTCTCTAACATTACTTACCCCTGTTATCCCTAATGGACAGTGAGCCAATGACCATCGAATTATTTTTTTCTGGTTTGCATCTCTACTGAATAGGGTCGCTAACCACATGCCCAACCCTGCTCCTTTATCCGGCCTTGGGACCGGAAGTAACCCCAGAAGGGATCCAAGCTGAGTTGGTCACCAATATAAGTTTACTTATTTCCTATAGACTGAAATACCATTGATTTATGAAACTGATTATTATTCTGTAGCTATTCATTGATTTGATGATTGATAATCTGTAATTAAAACTCTTGTTGAACTTTTCAATTGTTCAAATTTATATTTCGTTTCTTATTTAGTCGAACAATCAGAAAATATTACTCAATCAGCTCCATCTAATTTTTCATCTAAACGTGGTCGTGGTAGAAAAAGTATTAATCTTTTTCCTGTTTCTCCTAAACCATCACCTGCAAGTGGTATTATTTCTGATGCTTTTGGAATCCCACCTGGTACAAGTCTTATAAATGATGAAGCCGATAATCATAATTGGTCTCCTTCAGCAACATCTCCTGGTCCACTTCCAAGTCGTCCATTGGTTAAACGCCGTTTATTCGGTGGACCACAAGAAATACCAGAAACAGATAATAAATCAAACAATTCTAATCGGTTGTCATTACAACCAACACGGAAACGACGTTTCTCAGACTCAGAACAAAATGCCGCAAATTCTTCTAAGGCTGTAACTATTTCAACCTGTGGTGAAGATACTTGTGATGTAAGTTGAAATAAGATAATTCGTCGGTGTGGTATGGTGTGATGTGATTCTGTTTCTTTTTCTTTCAATATTAAGTGCATAATCTATCTCACTATAGGATAGATAGATACTTTAGGTAATTATTGAGACAATTCGTTAATATTTTATCAGGGTTCTTACAGAATCGTGCAATTTCTTTGAGGATTAGTTTTCTTTGATGATGAGTGTTATTGACTTTGAATTTGTCGTTACAAGCGTTGTGTAAGTAGGTCGACCGCTAAATAGATTTAGCCGAGCAGAAGTTTTCTTTTATTCACAGCCTAGCTTGAAAAATATCTTCAATATTAGTTTGGAGAAAATTGGCTTTGATTTTCCAAAAATCCCTAGCTTCATTTAGCTTGATGTACTTTTGTTCTTCGTTAACTAGTTTTTCTTAAAATACTTTCTGCATTGAAACTCATCACGAAATATCATTCATGTTTGATTCTTTATGTTGCGCTGATTTTCCTCTTGTTCGATATTCTTTTTCTCTAGTTTATTTTTGTTCCACCTCAATCAGAAAGTGTAAAAAAACGACGCACCTGTTTAACTACTCATCAAAAGGAACGTTTCAAAGAACAATTGTAAGTTTCATTTACGCTTATTACGGGTTTTAATGGAAAATAATGTCAAGTTGTTATTCAGTAGAATTTTGTGGATGTACTTTATATTATTAAAATGAAAAATGGAAAGGTTGTCAATCAACAAATAATACACAGTAATATAAAGTGGCTGACTTGTCCTAATCATATTTAAGGACTAGTATTGTCATTATGTTACTGCCGAAGATGTTACGGGACGGACACCTACAACCTATTGATAGAAAGTAAATTACTTTAGCCATTAAGTGATTTTTTATTCTACTAAATCGTACCTTAATGAAATACATTGTATTGCCTACTGTTTTCTTAAATTTACAAAGCTTCTATTCATTCGTTGGTTTTTGATCATACTGTGCATACGGTATGGCAATGCTACTCTATTACTTGTTGGCTAATAGTAAAATCAAGATATAGAGATTTTAAAATACATCTTGAAAGCATTTTTATCAGAATCACTTATATCATCATATTTTAGTATGTCACAAATTGATCTTTAGGCCTGAAAGCACTAGATGACCATCTGGTCCTAACATAAAACTTTTCATCAGTCAGTATCCACAAACTTACATCCGGAACTCAACACGGAAACCTTCAGTCTCTCGCATGAACGCCTAACCTCTAGACCAATTGAGCCAGTATCCAACGGTGTTAATAGCTAAATTGAATTCACGATATTGCGCAACCACTTTTCATGATTTTATAAACGAAAATCTTACAATCTCCATAAAACCATAAACTGGTTTAAATAAATCTTTAGTTTTTTCGGTGTTCCGGTTATGTACATATTGTTGACTAGTGAAAATACCACTCTATCTATTTTCATAGATTCAAGTTTATTTTTTTGTGCATCGTACCATTATTTATAGATTTATTTCCAAGATGTAACTTGATACTGGAAAAATTTTTTTGTTTATTTACTTAGAAGGGAATATATACCTACTATGTACAATGAATTAGATATTAGTCAACAATCATGGTCTAATCTAAGTGGTGGAGGTGGTGGTAGTGACTCTCAATCTCAAATTGACTTAAGTCTTCAATCATCTTCTATTAATAAAGATTGTTTAGAGGTATCTGAAACACCAATGTCACCTGATTTTCAAGCAAAACCAACTGCCACAAAGGAGCCATTAAACAACGAAAAGAATGAACTTGAAAATGTTACTATTGAAAATCTCAATAGTTCACTTTGCAATGAATCTGAATGTATACCTGTCAAGTAAGTATATATTTGTCCTAGAAAAAAGAAAAAGTACACTTAACTTTGCATGATATGGTGTATCTTGCACCGCATTGAATTGAATTGTTTGGCTTTCATTTTCGTTGTATATAACATCACTAATACTTACTTGAAATGAAGATAATATAGTATCAAAAGTATCAAAAGCTGCGAATCTTCTCTTTCATTTCAATTTGAAACTTTTGTTTTATTCTCAGTACAAGTTCTGTGTACTGCTGCATCCTATTAGCTTATTGAACAATTATTTTTCTACATAATTAACTGATTAGTATTTAGTCATGAATTTTTTTTCTTCATATTAAAGTTGTATTCGACCAGTCTCAAACACTTGACCCTTGCTTTTCTGCTCGTACTCACAGATCGATAACACAACCATTTGTTCAAGAAATTATAATGAACAGAAGACTATTAAAAAAAATCTAAATATGAGATCAATAGGTTAGGTCAATTACCTTAGTCGGTTTCTGATTTAAAATGGAATTTGTGAATGTTCATGTTCCGAAATGTATCACGTCATATAAATTTATTGAATTTAGAATGAAAATAAGCAGTATTGAATCAAGTTTTATATAATAGACGGGTTGTAGTTAGTAATGGAGCCCGACATGTTCATTTCGTTTTATTTTGGACTCAACAGCTTAGATGTACTTGAATCCTGATGTCAATGTACCAATTAAGATTCAAATCTCAGTAAATTTAGCTTCAAATACCAATACATATATGCCCGCAAAGTTTAATCAAACTTTAATTGTGATTGCTAACAAGTTCATTTTAAATCTTGCTAATAATGATATTACTTGACATGATAAGATAATAAGAGATAATAGCTTTATTTGTATGATATTGTAAAAAGTTAGTTAATTATAGTTCAACAATCCTTATGACAAATCCGTATATTTCCTTATGTATTCACATTCATAACTTATAACCATGTAATTTGTCTTTTGATTATATTTTTATAATGAATAATATTATCCATAATTTGGTATTTGTTATAATTGATATAGAGGTAACAACTATCTTCTAAAACATATCGACTCACACTCTCAATGAATTATGATTTATTCCTATGAAATCAATATCTCATGTTTATAAAGACTTTTTTCATAGGAATTCATGTTTCTTTTTTTCTTTACTTAATTTTTCGAAATAAACAGAGTTGTTTTATCTCCATCGGTTGATTCACCAATCAGTAAAAATGATTCTGTAAGTTAATATTGAAGATTTTAATATATATTGAATTTCCTTACGTGTATCATTCCATATAGACACACTACCTTTAGGTCTTCAGTATTTTTCTATGATTAAGCATAACTCTATCTGTCTAAGAAAGAATGACTTTACAGTCGTCAATTTATCTATCAAGAAATAGTTTCATCACTATTAAATCTAATTCTATTCATCTACAGTACGTATTTACTAATACATGTTGGATGTATAATGTATAGTCATAAATATAAGAATAAATTTGCTCAGTTCGTTTTATAATTCTTACAGACCATAATTACACCATTTAAAAAATATAAATCTTTACTTGAAGTTCGTCTGGTTGTAAGAATTTATTAAGTTATTATGATGTGCGGTGTCCCAAATCTGATTTGTGATACTTGTTAACCACCCAAACTGATAACTTGGGCGAGAAGACTAGGGAGAAGAGAAAGTCTATTTGGCTACCGAATACTGTGCCATCCGCTTAGAAGATGAATTATTTTCTTGACCTTTAATATGCATTTTGGATGGTCATCAAGTGACCTTGCTACTTGGCCACTTTTGATTGGTTAACTGTATCGAAAGTTACCTTTATAGTTTTAAATTTTAGAAAACTGAAATGATAAACTGAGCTGTTTTAGCACCTCACTTTATACCAAGTTCACGTTAGATGTTGCTATTATGGAAGTACAATATACGAGATAAATGACTGGGTAAATTAGAACAAATACAAGAGACATAAATACGCATTCCATAGATATCCTGACCAATAATTGGTAATCAGGTAATACACCAACAATAGGTATATGTATAGGATTTCAAGTAGTTCACACACTGCGAAATTGTAGTATAGAAATAATGTTTTATACTACAGATTATAATGTTTGTTCTGTTTATCTTCGTTCACTAGCCATTCAGACTCACAACACGTTCCGCGCAAAGATTATACGTAGGATTTTATATTTAGCCGTATTTGAAATAATTCACACTCTTCACTTTGACGTCAATTTTATCTACATCTGCATTCAACAAATGATTATACTTTCTCCATAGAACAATTTATATCTTTTTATTCCAATATTTTAAACAATTTGATTACATTATTCGGCATAGTCTTCACGTAACTAGGACATTATTTGTGAGAATTGGGGGGAATATGTGAATGCATAGACCTCGAAGTATTCGCTTGGTGATTTTTAAATACATGATTATATTATACATGTCACATTTTCCACCTTTTATTTGAAAAATTCCAGTTATAACATGAATTTACACTTTTACTGTTTAGATTTGTAAATAAAAAAAAGCATGTAACTCATGTGGGTCTACTTTGCCTCCAACAACTTTAGCCTAAATCTCTTAGTTTATTGGTTATGCAAACATATTTACTTCGGCGGATTCTGATTCTTGGACTGCTTGAGAAAGTCTCGTTATTTCACCTGAATCATCATTGCAATAATGAAAGATTCTACTCAATATAGATAAGTTGTGAAAAAAGACGTCTGATATGACAATAACAAAAATCTGACCACAGCTTGGCTCGTTTAACTCTTGTTCTTTATATTTAATAAGAATTTCAATAGAGATACATAAATTATTAGAATAACTAACGTCTGATAAGATTACACGAGAAATGCGATTCAGGTTTGATGTATTTTACATATTTTTTTGTCACAATGATCTAAGATTCCACCCGAGTTTTAATTGAATCCATACGCTGGTTATGGATTTCGCAACAAAAAGATTAGAATCTTGTCTAGGTTTAATATTGCTAAGATTATTTTTTTAAATAGAATACTAACAATTCTCAATTAGCCTAGTAACTTTTTCCAAGTCAGTCAGTCAGTTACAACGTAGAACTTCGTACGTACCAGGACGAAACGGCCATCCAGTGCTTCCGGGTTTCTAATAGTGGTCTAACATTGATCGATTCATGGTTTCAAAAATGTGTAACTTAACAATCTTCACAACCCCGTGATGCATTATGATAATCAGTTGAATATTTTATTAATTCTAATTATCATGTAAGCAAGTTTGTTTCTGCTCACTAACCAACTAGTCAACAATATGTATTTTCCAACCAACAGGATTTGAAGAATGACTCTGAAATAATCATAATTGAAGATACTGAAACAACTAATACAGAATGTGAATTAGATGGTGTTGATGAAATCGCATCCAAATCGACTACATCTGGTAATGTGATTATGTGTATATGAATTTTTGAAATTATACATTTATAATTTATTTGAAAAACTTTAAATTATTGATCAGTGTATTGTATTTAGTTTTACATAGGAAATTTTCATTTCTCATACCCTTCATCTATTGATTGATTGATTGAAAAAAAAATAAAACATAAATGTTACTCTCCTAATCTTGAACATTTCTTTTGCTGCAAACACATGTCGATCATATGAACAGGAGGCTTTCAGCTAACCTAACCCTGAGCTTCCTTATCACTCTGCAAAAAAATAAACTGATCTTGTTGACCCCCGACCGAAGCTACTACTTTGACGTGGTGGCCGGGCTTGCCTATCGAGATCACCCAACCGAGCTATATTGGCTGGAACATATGTTCCTGAAGGTTCTACCATGCCAGGCAGGTCGATTGAAGAACGATGAGGCTAAAAGCAGCTACTCAAGGTCTGAGTGCGAAGTCGTACTGCTGACTGTGATGGAGGGGTGTGACAGCAGTAAGGTGTTTCCCTTGGACAACCAGCATGTGCAACGATGCTGCCTTCTCAGAAGGAAGGAAGGATTAGAGAAGGTCGACCCTGAAAATGTCACATCTCACCCTACCTCATTAATACTCAGATAATACAACATCTTTAAAAATTCTACCTATGTTTTGCCTGAATTATATATTTGACTTTTTTTAAATAATAATTTTTCTAATACTCAGCATAATTGAACAATTAAATTTTGGTTGAAGATATAACATTGTTTAAGCTTCCATGGTATCATCGAAAAAGGAGTATTAGTTATGATATAGAATTCTGTCAATTTAATGCATCATCATCATCAGAGCAATGTACTTATTGACTTGTCAATAAAATTACTTCAGTGTACAGTTCTTAGTACTGTAATAGTAATGACTAACATACAACAGTAGAAACTAGGAAGTTTACTTCAAAACAAATGAATATCATAGAATTTATTGTAGGCAACAACAGTCACTCATTTGAAATCATGAATCGATCAATGTTAGATCACCATTAGAGACCTGAAAGCACTGGACGGCTGTCTCGTCCTGGTATGGGACTCATCTGGGACCTTCGGTCTTGCGCCCGACCGTCTAGCCTCTGGACCACTGAGCTGATGTGCAACGGTGTTAATGTCATACTTCGATCAATTCACGGTACTGCACAATCTCACACATTGTCTCGGGTAGTTACTGTCTACACCCGAACAGGCTGAACTTCACTGGTCACAATTTCTCACTAGAACTCGGAGAAGATTCTTCACAGAGCTAGTCACTAGTGAGCTTATTTGCATTACGGGGTTGTAAAGATTGTTCAGTTACACAATAGTTACTATCAACTTAGAGTCCTTCTACACATTTAGCTAAAAAATCATGTAAATAAAGAATTGGAAGAAAAAAAGTTGATCGTTACAAGATTTCTCTTAACTTGTTGATAAAAATCGAGAAATGTGTCTTTATTATTAAAATTAGACTTTACACATCTTAAGTTAATTAATTTTCAAACTCATTAATTTCATTTTAATTGTTTTTTTTCTTTTGCAAAGATTTACCTGATAAAACAGACTTAAATCAATCGAATGAATCGTTTAATATACCTTCGACAACTTTATCTAAATCACTTCTCAAAGATGATGATAATAATAATAATAATGATGATGATGGTAAAGTGTCACCTCCGACTATCACTGTAACTATTCCACCAATTTTAACTACACGTTCAACTAATCACACATTGTCTAGTCCATTAATGAGAGGTTAGTGTTCTTACATATTTATTTTGTTGTTGTTGTTGCAATTAAACCTCATTCATATTGTTGGGGATGTTAGATCCCCAGAACTCCCCTGATAAATGCCTTATTTTGGATTTCATGTTTGCGAGCATGGGCTGATCAGTTAGCCTTGAGATTACATTTCCCACCAAGAAAATCCATGGCTGTGATTGGCCGCTGTGTATTTTCGTAACTGTCCCAAGGACGTTTCTATGATGTATAAATAAACGAGAGTTGTGTGCTTGATTGTGCATTGTGATTGCTGGGTGTTGTAGAATATAATTTCTACGCTTATCAAGACTTCTGTTTTGCAATTTGGGATTCAAGGTAGCCTACCTGGACTCTGGCTGATTGTCTTGTTCGCGTTTATCGACTAAGGTGAACTCGTAATAGCTTCAAGCGTACCTAGTGACGAACATAACACATATCTGCAACAATATGAAAGCCATTCAGAATTTTTTTATATAAGTGTAATAACATATTGTCATTTTTTTCGTTACTTAGCTTTCTTCTTTTTAATGATTTTCATTTTGGAATATAGTGGAATGTGCACAGTGTACTATTGACAATTTTTTCTTTTCACAAATTTTTCTCTTCCAGCGTTTTAGCGTTTTTTTTTACTTTTCTTTAAGTATATTTTCTCATTTTTTTTTCTAAAATTATAAAACATATTTATCCTGAAAACTTTTCTTTAATCATCAACTTGCCATTGATCACTATTACTTGAATTTTATCGATAAAAATATTAAAACCAACTAACCAACCAATCTTAAACACATCGGAAGTATACGATAGAAAAAAAACCAATTAACTGTGAAATTTCATTTTATTCTTGAAATAAATAAACATTTATATTAGTGTAAAGTGTAAAAGTAATGAGCTTATTGATTATAACTAATATGATGTGGTGAAACAAAGAAGCTTGGCCTAGTGTATTCAAAAAATGTTTAATAATTTCAGGTCCAACTATAATGTGTTAAAGTTAATTAGATCATCCTCATTTATTTCGTCTGCATAAATTAAATTCATTCTAAATACATAGATGTTGCTTGAGTACTGAAATTAACTAATCAATCAATCAACAGCAGCGTAGAACTTCATACGTTGCCACACCACGTTAGCACAGAGATGTAATTGTCAATTCAAATCATATAGTGATAGAGACAGTATAAGTATTAGCGGTAATGGAGAAGATTATGGTTCGAAGATATTATTCAAAAAGTAGAATCTAGCGAAATAAACTTAAGAAGAAAAAGAAGGTTAGGATTCGAGAGAACACAAAAAAATGAATGCAACCTGTCCCATTGCGAACGGGTTTTGTCATAGTAGGTAAGTTTTCTAATGTGTTTTCTATTGAATATATATTTCGGATTTCTCTTTAACTTATCGAAACCTTTTTTAAAACATTCTCTCATTACTTAGGATCGAGTCGTGCTCAAAAGATGCTTGCATTAGGTTTACAGAAAGCCGCTGAACAGACTGCACGTCAGAGATCATCTTCCGGAGATCATAACATTGGTAGTCTGTCTTCAGATAACAGTCCTACCATGACAGAACGGAAATCAACGTTAAATTCACTGGCTTCACCATCTCGTTCGACATTCACTCCTTCAGTAAATGATTCTCCATCCGGTAAATATTACTTTTTCCTCATGTTTGTATTGTACCAAAAAAGCCTAAGAAGTTTTACTTTATTTATTGATTAATACATTGAGTCGTTATAATTTGAAAATAATATTTTGCAAATATAAACAAAATTAGATAGAAATCAAAATTAATTTTTATTACTTAGTTATAAATAGTCTATGACTGACATAAAACAACTATCTACTTTACACGTTTTCATGTTGCTTGTCATTTTAGCAATTATGCAAATTAACATTGAAGTAGTCAATTATTCTATGTTAATTTTTAATCTTCTGTTATTGTTCCAACCTACTTGTATACTATTCAACAAAGGGTTTTGTCTTCTAAGTTGAAGCAATAGATTTTATCACACCCTTTCTCATTAAAGTTATCATTTGAACTTTGTCAGGTATTTTAGGATCTTGTTACGTACTTTTTTTTATCTGTGACCTTGTCAATGTACACTTTCACGTGTGCTTGCTTTCTGTATGTTTGTCATTCATAATCTGTTCGTCTTACATAAAAACTGTCTCTAGCTGTTTACTTTCTGAAATTCGCAACTCCTGTCATCGTGTCCGCATTACTAGATGTCTGAGGGTTATGCGAAACCACTCTCATATACCCCCGTTTGTTGTTAACATCTTAGGTCGACCAAATATATACGGAGTAAATAGGATGTATATTTCATGAAGACTATTATTATCGTTTGATTACTACGTAGTCAACAACGGGCATTAAAAATCAATCGACCTTAAATTCAAGCTAGGATTCTCCGTTTCACTCTGGAATTACTCACTTGTCGGTTAATGAAATGATTGTTTCACAGCCTTAAAGTAATAAAGGAAAGAATGACTGCATGATATAATCATTCTGTAGAATAATTGTATTCTCATTTAAAAACAAGTCAAATCTTCACTTCATGATGACAGGTTACATATTGGTATTTAGTCTCTTATCAATCACTGTCTTTTGCTAACCTGCATCACTTATGGCACAGGCGTGATATCCGCTTGTTAACCAAAGGACGAGTGTACTGCGCAGCAGTTTGCTCTGTCCTACTATACGGATGCGAAACATGGCCGTTAAGAGTAGAGGACTTTCGTAGGTTACTAGTCTTCGATCACAGCATTGCTCGTGTATCCTGGGACGACCGAGTAAGCAATGCTATCGTTAAGAAACGAGTTCTAGGTAAGGATGGCAAATTGATAGACGAAGTAGTGAAACTTCATCAGTTGAGGTGGTTGGGACATGTGTTACGAATGCCTAACCACCGACTACCGCGACGAGCTATGTTTTGGTCTCTGTGCTAACGTGGTATGTCAACCTGAACGTACGTACGAAGTTCTACGTTGTATCTGTTTGCCATAGTAGTTAATAATTGGATAGGGAACCTTTCTTCTAAACATCTGATCGCAGTTTCACGTATTTTCGCCTAAACAACTGGTAGTTTCATCAGTTTGCTGCATACCAAGATATGTAAAACTTGAAACAAGGTTTCCAATTATATATACTTTCACATTACAATTTGACCTGAATAAGAAAAAAATAGAAGCCATTATTCTCTCTTAATAATATCAAAATATTTTTTTTTCAAAGGAATTATAAGAAATTTATGGTCAAAGAAAAAATCTCAACGTGTATCGTTTGTTGAGCAACCAGTAGTTTATACAATTGAATCGATACATTCAATGGAACAAGAATCTGATGAAGATTACAATCGTCATCATGATCAAATTAACTTCAGTACAAATAAGAAGAGAATCCTGTTCACTGATGATGATGATGACGACGATAATAATAATAATAATAATAATAATAATAATAATGGTAATCATAATAAATATGAAGAATTTAATAATTTAACTGATAATAAATCTGACGAACTAGTAATGAACAGCCATATTCGAAAATTAAATGAATCCAATGAAAATAATGAGCAGACTGGATTAAACGGAATACGTATGTCAGAAATACGAACTTCTATCACACCTGAACAAATTTCTGTTGATCTAGATGTTTCTCAGGATTCATCACAATCTGTGTAAGTTTCAAATATATATTATAATTTAAGTTTATTAGTGGTTAACTAAATAGTCATTTTTATGGAGAGAAGGTTTACTTTACCAGTAAATATATTTTCTGCTCAGTTAGCCAATCTTAGTCAGCATATAAAGCTTGACACTAATTTACGCCAGTTCAAGTTGCGCCTATTGTGTGCAGTGGTGAAGGTGTGCATCCACTCTGTTTATTCTCTCAAATTCTAATCTTCTGAGTTTGTCATCACCTCTACCTTTCTCTTTCTAAACTTATTTCACTGAATTATTATACTCTAATCTTCTCCATTACCAAAAATACTTCTATAATAGAACCTTAGCACTTAAGATCTGGAACAAGATCAAGTGGCGAATACTGAATAATGTCACTTAGCGTATTTAATCACTCTGATCGCGATAAATTTCATGTCTAAAAAGTTAGCGAATTTCTAATGTTTTCGATGAAAATGTGCAATACTTTCTAATTCTTAGCGTCAGTGTTTTTCAAATTGTGTGTTTACGTCTATTTCAAAAACTGACTTCAGAACAATTATCTTCTTTTTTTATACATAACAAAAACACAGATTATCAATAACCACAGAATGTGTTAAAGAAATAACGCCAAGTACAATGTCAAATGATAATTCTGAATCACATGCTCATCATCGTCGTAAATCAGCTTCTCCTCAACGACGGGAATTACCAGTTAGAAAAGTTTTTCCCATATGTCAAAATTCTAATCAATTATCAAAATCATCAAAAGGTAGACCGTTATTCATGGAGCCTGTACATCAGACAGAAGTGATTTCTCAAGATTCAAAGATAAGTGAATCAATAGAATCAAAAAATATAGATCCAGAAGAAAATGTCCTTGTAATAGACAGTGAATCAACTTCGATAGTAGATACTCAATTAGAAGAAAGTGCACTTCAGATAAATAATATTGACGATAATCCTACCAATGCTATTGAACAAACACAAGAGGATGAGATTGTTACTACTGGTGGTGGTGATATTGATGATGAATGTATTCTAATAGAAGGGAGTCAAACTGGTAGTCAGATCAATAATAGTGAGGAACAGTTGATTTCTTCAATAAATAGTTCAATGAATCAGTATAACTTCTCACCAATCAATGTAGAAGAAACTCAAGAAGTGAATAATAATGGTATAAAGGTAAAATCTCCTATTTAGTTAATATTAACTTTCCTTCATTCTGCACATTCCATAACGTTGTAACCATTATTTTTTTTAAAAAAAATTGAATATTTTGTTGCTTATAGATTTTAGTGTTTGAATTTATTGTAAGAATGTGTTATTTCATTGGAGAACCAGTAGAGAAGTAGTGAATATTTTTTTTTTCAACATGCAGTTAATTTTGGTTTCATTTGATTTTTTAAAAAGATCTAAGATTACTTAACAAAGATATTATTGAAATCATTGATCAATCATTGTTAGACGACAGTTAGAAACCTGAAAGGCTGTTTCGTCCTATTATGGGATTCTTCAGAAGTGCTCATCCCCGATCCCCGCTCTTGGGAATAGAACCGAAGACCTTCAGTCTCGCGCGCAAACGCTTAACCTCTAGACCACTGAACCGATTATCGACAGAGTTAATGCCTAACTTTTATCAATCTAAGGATTTCGCGCGATTTCACTCATTATCTCCGGTAGTTGCTGCCTACGTCTTCTCACTAAAACTCCGAAAATTTCCCGACTCAGCAAGTCACTAGTGACTACATTTGTAATTTTTCACCATAGCGTTATATGAATTTCTGTTTATTATTGAGATCCTTTGTCTTGAATTTATCACAGTTATTGTTAATGAAAATAATATGATCAGATAATTTTCAAAGGTGGCTAATAAACAATCAATAGAATTGTAAATAATAGTATATAATCCTACCTACCATGTAAAAAGGCTCAAACAAATGATGGTACGTTAGTGTAGTTTGCCAATATAGATTACGAAATGCTTCTACTTGGTTTAATCTTTCTTTATGATGCTAATTAATCATACTATGGCGTATTAAAAACGCCTCTGAATTCACCTCTGTTTCATATATATATCTTCTTTCAGTAGTGGCTTATTTTGTCTGTTTTCATTGTTGGGCTCTTCTTAGTTTGTCATAATACATAACTAGTAGTTGCAAAGTATTTATTTACTTGCCAACTTTGAATACATGCATTCCTTAAAAGTTCCCATCTGTTTTTACCAATTTATTTTTTTCTCATTACTCGTTTTACAAAATGCAGGATGATACAAGTTCAAGCTTCCAAACGATTGACAATTTAACAAATAATAATGACACTGATCGAAAACATTTATTACCTACTAGTCCCATTGGGTCTAATGAAACTATTGATCAACAGACTGTTAAACTCTCGACATCACCTGATTTTACCAACAATAATAATGCTGAAATGAATAGGAACAGTGAAGTGATGCGGGAGACAAAGAACAATATTGATGCTGATGATAATAAAGAGAATCAACCAGAATCAGTCACGGTGAGTGGTAGTAGTAGTAGTAGTAGTAATACAACAGAAAATGATGTAGAAAAAGATATTCTAAATAAATTATCACAAATTGCAAATAGTTTGCCTATATTACGACCAGAACAACGACATGCAGTTCTATTAGAAGCTCTTAGTACATTTAAATCAATTATGCCATGAAGATGAAACAGTTTTTAAACAATTTAAGGGATAAAAACTACACATTCAAAAACTGTTCAGTGCTTACTTTTTTTTCTTCTACGATTATTCAGACATTATTATTGCTGATGTATTTCTCTTTTTAAAAAAAAAATGTAAAGCGTACTTATCCATAATTCTGACCGCCTACTATTATTATCATTTTTTTTTTCTCGATGAGATCTCATTTATGAGTGATTCTTATTTTTTTCATATTGTGTATTCCTTGTCCATGTTTTAGTTAAGTGAGAAAAAAAAAGACTAATGAAACACTAGAGTCAGTTGTTGTAATTGTATTCTTCTGCTATGTAGTTTTTATTTTTATTTTTTTAAACTATGCTGTTGTCGACTGATTTCACTTTATGCGCGCGCTTACACAGAGTATTGTATTTTTTTTTTCACCAGTCGATTTTTAATAGATTAAAGAGAAAATTTTTATGCATTTTTAATAAGTATTTGTATTGCTTTACCTTATTTGGTTTTTAATTTTATAATAAATTTGTAACATTTAAAAAGTTAATATTTTATTTTTATATATCTATAATTAATATTCAGGTCTTTTGTAAGCGGGGTATCACTGTCAGTGTCTCAACAGTTACTACCGATTCAAATTAGAGAAGTATAGTGAAGTTCGACTTTTATATAATTTATTAGTACCACTTAAACGTAATGGTAAGAATCAATGACATGTTACTTTGTCATCGCAGTGTTAAGTAGTTCCAGTTAGTCCAGTTTTAACAGTTAGATTGACTGAGATATTGAGTAGAATCTGGGAACTAGGTGTAATCCCATCTGACTGGTCTCAGATGTCCACTCTCTCTATTCTTGCTTAACATTATCGTAGACATCCTTTTAGAGTTAACATTATCCTCGTCAGACATTTCAGGAGTAGACCTTCTACCAGGAGGATCGCTTACTGACCTAGAATATGCCGATGACATAGTTCTATTAGGTGAAGACGCTGATAAAATGTAGTCCTCTGACTATCCCAAGCAACACTGAAGCATGTTCGGGATGCGGTTTTCCCCTTTCAAATGCAAAATGTTGCTTCAAGACTGGGTTGCATCGGCACCTGAACTAGTGATAGGGAGTGAAGTAGTCGAGCGTGTTGACCGCTTCACTTATCTTGGGAGTCTCATCAGTGCTGATGGCCTGGTGACTGACGAAATCTCAGCACGGATACAGAAAGCTCGATCGACTTTTGCCAATTTGCGTCATTTATGGCGTAGGCGAGATATCCGTTTTCTGACTAGAGGACGAGTGTACTGCGCAGCAGTTCGCTCCGTTCTCCTATATGGATCCGAAACATGGCCAGTAAGAATTATTAGGAAACGGGTACTAGGTAAGAATGGCAGACCAATAGATGAAGTATTGAAACCTCATCAGTTGAGGTGGTTGGGACATGTGTTACGAATACCAAACCACCGACTGCCTCGATATCCGAACGCAATAAAGGTGTTTACTTATTATATTTTAACACCTACCAGTCGTCATCAAGAAATTAAAACCACTTCCTAGTTTCACAGTATCTACTGAAATTCAACCATAATCAACGTAGAACCTGACATAAGTACGTATCAGCTTATGTTCCCATTCCAAATCAGTGTAGGGAGAAATAGACAAGCAATACATAAATAGATGCAATATTCGTAGTCTCGATGATAGTCAGAAGAATTTGGTTCGAAAATATATGAACCTTAAAATCTAGAGGAAGTTATGGAGTGAGTACATTTGCAAACGCTGCAACGAACGACAACTTGACGTAATTCAATTTGAGTGATGATTCTCCACTAATATCCGTAACAATATTTGCGAGTGACTAGGTAGATTCATACTACTAAACAACTTAATAAAATCACCCGAATAATAGAGTGCACGTCATTGACTTATTCATGTTCTGGCGTATAATTACTAGTTGAGTGCAGATGATCAATCAAACTGTTACTTAAAGTCCTGCCATCTAATAAAAAGTTTACTACAACGTACAAATTTGTATAGTCGAAAAAACAACATAAATAATTTCACAACAAATTAACAGTTTGACTTTTTCAAGTATAAAACATTCGCTGAACAAGCATGTTGTACAGATATATTTTCGCCGCTCCTTCATTAAAATGATGTCTACTAAACTTAAGTCATAATATAGACCATAGTATATTGCAAGTTAACAAGTTATTATATTGAGAACTATAACTTATCGTGAGTGAACTCTTGGTAATCCTTCATCGTTTGCTAGATTTCATTAGATCCTTTGTTTAGTTATATTTTACTCTTAATTTGCTAGGAACTAGTTGGAGTAGGTTGCAAGTAAAGATTAGTCCCTTACTTAGCTACAAGGATTCTCTCATTTTTACTAGCTTTTAGTTTCAGATCGGTGATTACCACGATTACTCTTTCTAAAAACAAGATATAATTACGACACCATACGGATGACCTCATTTATTACGTTTTAATAGTAGATTTCCTAGTAGTATTGTTACTTCGACTGAGTACATACGCGCATGAACAAAGTGAAAACATTGAATTCATAAGCTTACCGTTTTCTTAAGACAATGAACGATTTATTTATATTAGTTATCATATTTATGGCGTCTATTACTTCAACCAAGGAATGATGATGAATGGTAAAAGTCATCTGAGCGAGTAAAATAATTCATACACATTATATTGATATCAATGTACACAAACAAAGAAAATCATATGAAAAAAAAATAGAAGATAGGCCGAAAGACATGATAAATTACTCTATAGTTTGCACTGAATCAGTTTATCAAACACAATAGACAAGTGAAGTGAGGAATAACCAAATTACAAATAATCATGTACATTCAATAATGTTAATGTTTATGGCGACGATCGCGTAGTATACATGAAGATTGATATATGAATGCATCCAGAAGACTTGCCACTGAAATTAATTTTAGAAGAAAAAGAAAATATCAAACTATTAATTAAATGGTAATAATTATAAACAATGATTAAAAGTTAATTGAATCATCTATGAATTGAATAAACATATCAATATTATATCATGAATAGTAGTAGATGAACAGAAATCATCAAAAATCCCATGTATTAAATGTTTATTGACGCTTACAAATAAAGGATATGATTGTCTATTTAGTAGGTCAGTAACAAACTTTATCTGTTATATAAAGGATAAACTTTACATTATATACTTGACACATGACAATCGATGATATACGTAAATCTTCATTGATCAACATGTGTGGTTTGTAGATTAACACTTGCAGGTCAAAAGTTAAACTACCATTTCACCTAACAAACTTTAATTAATGTTACTAATGTTGTTAATTTTTAAATGAAAGATGTAGCCAATAAATAAGCAACACGTAAATATGAGTGATTGATTTTGGTCAGTCTAATAACTTCTATCTAAAGACTTGATCAAAAAAAATTTAACAAATAATGATATTAAGTACTATCTGAATCTTATTATCAACAAACATACCATCAGTACTATGGACTAAATGTTGTAGTTGCAAGTCAACTAATTAAATCTCTAGACTATCGTGGTCATGGAGAATCAAGTCGTAAATGATTATAGCAAAAGGTTTTGCAAATATGTAGAATGCGAATTTCTGATCATAGGAATCTTTGGAACACTGCTCGAATATCATAGGACAACTGAGTGAATAACGATAAGGTAACAGACACAGTATTATATAGAGGTGGAGAGTCGATTGATAAGGATGTGAATCTTTATTGAATGAGGTGACTTGCTGAGACATGTCAATCCATGCGAAAACATGTAATTCTAGCATAAATGGGAGTAGGTTAGAAGAAACCCACAGGTGGCTAAATCATGAAACAGGATCAATGCACGAAATGATTGACGGTTGAACAGAACCATTTTGAGGTGAAGACCGGTGTCAGGCAAGGTTGCTTACTCTCACCCTTTCTCTTCCTCCTGGTTATCGACTGGATTATGAAGACGTCAACATCTGGAGGGAAGCACGGTATCCAATGGACAGCTGGACGACCGGAACTTCGCAAATGACCTGGCTCTTCTATCGCGCACGCAACAAGAAATGCAAGAGAAGACGACCAGTGTAGCAGCAGTAGGTCTCAACATACATAAAGGAAAAAGCAAAATTCTCCGATGCAACACAACACGCACCAACCAAATCACTCTTGATCGAGATGCCTTGGAGGACGTTACCACCTTTACATTTCTGGGCAGCATCATCGATGAGAAAGGTAGATCGGATGCAGATGTGAGGGCGCGTATTGGCAAAGCAAGGGCTGCGTTTCTACAGCTGAAAAATATCTGGAACTCCAAGCAACTTTCAACCAAAACCAAAATCAGGATTTTCAATACAAATGTGAAGACACTTCTACTGTATGGAGCGGAAACTTGGAGAACTACGAAAGCCATCATCCAGAAGATACAAGTGTTTATTAACAGTTGTCTACGCAAAATACTTCGGATTCGTTGGCCAGACACCATCAGCAACAACGAACTGTGGGAGAGAACAAACCAGATTCCAGTGGAGGAGGAAATCAGGAAGAAGCGTTTGAAGTGGATAGGCCACATACTACGAAAAGCACCTAACTGCGTCACAAGACAAGTCCTCACACGGAACCCTCAAGGTCAAAGGGAAAGATGAAGGCCAAGGAACACATTTTGCCGAGAAACAGCGAAAGATATGAGAAGAATGAACAAACATTGGACAGAACTGGAGAGGGAAGCCCAGGACAGAGTTTGTTGGAGAAAACTGGTGGCGGCCTATGCTTCATTGGGGGTAACAGGCGTAAGTAAGTTTATTGATACATTCAAACTACCTAGTTCCGGTCCATGTGACAACCACGATCAATGTGATCGGAGAGATTAGGTGGCACGGACTGGCACTGATCATAATCACGCAGATGCAAACACTTCCTAACTTCATTTAGAACTGGAATTCCAATATCCTTTCATTCATACACATCTTTTCATTCCATCTTCTCAGACTGTACTCTAAATGTTTAGTCTTTCTTACTATCATTGTTACAACAATTATTCTGAATGCATTGGTGTCTATGTTAAGTTTATCTCATCGTGTCAAATTGGTATGGCGACTTAAGAAAGCGTTTCTTTGTGCGGGGCTCTAGAGTGATTACGGCTGACAATGTATATAAATTTAGGTGGGGAGAAAGCTAATTTTTATGACAATGTCATTGGTTAACCGTATTATCTCATGTATTCAGTCAATATTTTCAACTATGTAGAGTTATTTTGTCATATAATCTTAAAAGTATTACACATAAAGTGAATAGTTTTGTCTATTTCTGTTTCTTTTAGGTCGTAATACTTTTCTTAATTGATATCAAAACCGAATGAAAATAATCACAGAAATGACTTGTCAAAAGAATTCATCGAATCTACCAACTGTAACATTTGATAAAAAGTATACCATCATCATGATTTCAAATAGTAGAAAAATTCTACATAAATTTAGGAGTATTATAGAAAAAAGAGTGATAACACAGAAAATGAGCTTGGTAAAACTCTAACCTGTAAATACTCCTCCAATGATCGCGCATGTATTTGTTAAGAAATGTATAAATGACCTGAAAAAAAGAACAAATGGATAGATTTAAAAGTGAATTAGAAATTTACGTTAACGAATGTAATAATAGATTCAATGAGAAAATAATTAAGTTGGTCATTTTATTTACAACAGACAGACAGACAAATACAACGCAGAACTTCCTACATAAGTACATCAGTTCAGGTTGCCATACCATATCAGCACAGAGACGACCTTTTCTAACCCTTCCTTCCTTGTGAGAAGGCAGCACCGCTGCAGATGCTGGTTGTCCGAGAGAAACAGCTTACCGCTGTCACACCCCTCTGCAGCCAGCAGTACGACTTTGCCCTCAGACCTTAGGTAGCTGCTTTTAGTCTCATCATTCTCCAATCGACCTGCCTGGCATGGTAGAACCTTCAGGAACATATGTTCCAGCCAGTATAGCTCGGTTGGGTCATCATGATAGGCAAGCCCGGCCACCACTTCAAGGTAGCAGCTACAACAACAGATGATATGAAGAATAGATATGAATGATACGAGATGGGAGTTTAATGGTTAGGGATGACTAACAAAATTAGTCTTGTCCGATTGTTTTGAACACTTTACCATGTTAAGTTATTAGAGAAATAAAACCTATTCTATTGATATCTGTCTGATTGATAGGTTGGTAACAAGCGCGCATCATTTAGTCGGTTGCAAAGTAGAACATGATACATATATAGAACAGTTTAATTTGCCATACTCCATTATCACAGAGAGATGGGATTGTCAAGCTAAATTCCAGAGTGGTGAAGGTAATAACAGTATTAGTGGCAATTGAAAAGATTAATTGTTGGAAAAAGAAAATATAAAACAGTGAAATGAATATGTAAAAAGTTATAAGAAACTCAAAAGCTTAAAATCTGGAAGAAAAGGAAGAATAAATGCACTTGTGCCATTGCACACGATTTGAGCTACGTTACGCGAAGTTTCTAACCACAGGCTACCATTATCACACGGGCTCCAATCAAGTAGTCTACGACAATTGCCCAGATAAATTGTACCAGTGCAAATGATCAGTCAACTAACATTAATTTCATTCATCTCACCAAGTATCAAGTAAATTTATTGATGAATAGTAACAGTGAACCACACATATTTATAGAGTAAATTTTTTTTCAATACATTCTAATATTGTTAGTTTAATTTTATTGAGGTGCTTACTTTTCCTCTTCAGTAATTTTGACAAGTAAAGGAGCTATTTCATAGTTGAAAAATACACCGGGTAATCCTTGACCATCACCAGATAGAGCTGTACCTTTGGAATGCCAAGTAGCAGAGTATTGATTAGTTATCAGAGTGCTTTCCTATACAAAAAAAAATTCAGAATTAACGAAATAAAATATAGTTCGATAAGCAAGAATTAACTTCTATTATTTTAATATATATATATATATATATATATATATATATATATATATATATATATATATATATATATATATATACTGTAGATTGAACTTATGGGTATTAATACCAGGGTTGGACTTGATAGTTTCAAATAAATTGAGCATGGAGTGAAAATTTAATAATAATAAAATAATTACACTAAATGTTAAAATCGCTTCTGATTCTTGCTAACGACAGACCACTACATGTAAACTATTAATAATTTAATTTATATGAAAATGTCAAAATAAATTAATCAAGTGGAATAAATAACTTATAATCATTTATATCGGATCGTTCATGAGTTTTATTAGAAAATATTAAAGTAATTTTTTTCTCAAAAAATTGATAATCAGTCAGTATACATGTACACTGATTAAGAAACCTAATTAACATCTTTTTACGATACTTATGTTAAGCACTTACTGTGAAACTCCATACACTATCAACTAATGTCTGTGTATTTCAGTTGTGTTGATTTAGTTGAAGGTGAATGTAAAGTTAATATAATGATAAGAGAATAATGACCCAGTATTGATCTGGAACATTATCTAACTGACAAACATAGAGTGAAGCGGTTGAATTTGTAAGCCAATTGAGTAACTGAATCAAATCTGAAGGGCTAGTTGTCGATAAAATTTCAGTGATGATATCAATAGTATGTTCGTCATTTGTCAACAAATGTTATTTATGATGGTAGAGGCAGTCGATCGCCTATCGAAAAGTGAATATGCAGTTAATTTCTTGTCGGCGTGTTGCTATGAAATGTGATACCCTCGTATTAGACCCTGTTACTTGTCCTTAACAACTACTGAGCCGGGTTTCGTTCTGCGTTATTTAGAGTTTAAAACTTGTGTGACTAAATGCATTCAATCATAAATGTCTCTTCAAAAGATTGATTGTGTTAAAACTACTTGGCAAGCATTGTTGTGAGTGAGCTTGAAGTTCTAAGTAAGGATGATAAACCAATCGACAAAGCTATAAACCTGTACTGGTTGAAAAGGCCGAGTCAAGAGTTACACATACCACTAACTACCTGTCATCACGTACAGTGTCAGATGAATTAATATTTGGTTGGATTAGGACTTGTCAAATCAAGGTACAGCATTAGTCACGAACATTACTGACAGCTGGTTTGAAGTGTAAGTAGTAGCGAATATTTTATATGAAACGATATCGAAATCACGATAAACACATTCAATAAAATGATCTAAAATTAATAACAGTCATGAGGATATACACGAACTTTTATTTCCTAAATCCATAAGACTATATGACGTTGGTTTATTTAGATATTTTTTGCTTATATCCATTTCCTTTATCTGTTGTTGTGTAGTAGGTATAATTTAACCAATAAAAAGTGTGGATCTTTGTGTTAACCATGTTTATTTTGAAATAAGCGGCATTTACCAAAATGACATTGTCGAAAAGAAAATCCCCTTCTCTGAAACACTTTCATTCCTTTTAACTACTACATATTGAAGAACTGAATCCTAATCAACAAAATTCCAAGTTTAAAAATGCATGTTATGCATAGGATTTATTAAATTTTCCTAATATAATCTCATATGTAGCATATATAAGATAATTAGATATAACATACATTTCTGCCAACGCCTGTATACATAGTCGGTACCAGTTTTAAGTAATAAATAAACATCCGAGAATCTGAAGAGTTAGAAACAGCACAAATAATTATAATAATTATAATTATGAATATTCGACAATATTGGAACGAATAGTTTGACAAAAATCAGGCGCCGAATATATAAAAACAACCCAAGTGAAAATTAAACTTGAAATAATTCTAGCGATTGAAACTCTTAAATAGTTCCAACGTTTCGTACTGAAACTAACTATTCATGAGAAAAAAACTAAAGCCTGAGGTTATATAGTTGGATGGTAAGAGATTTAAAAAATCATATATATTTGATAATCGCCTAAATATTAATAATGGTTTAAAAAAAGAATGTTTTAATTATGTAAGAACATAAAAGACACAATAGGTTGGAAAAAATGTGGAGTAACGAGTCTGTCTGTTCTAACACAATCTACTATAGCTTATGTTGATGGCCGATATCTGTCAAACGGACAACTATCGCTCATACTTCTGATCAACAAACCAAGCAAATAACGTAAAACTATTATGCAATTTTCTGATAACACTTAAAATCTCAAAACACTGTGAGGTAATTGCATTCTATTTTCAAATCGACTACTATATTCACAAGAAAAATTATAGATACGACTGTAGAGTTTTAACAAATGATATTGTCATCGGAGATTTTCTTTTTCTGAATTTTCATTTTTTCTCCAATGAATAAATGTAACTACTGGGATGAGTTACATGGCACTGAAATCTTTCGGAGGCTAAATTTGAGAATGGTTTGACTGTCCTTTTTTAACGAAAACTGTCAGGTAAACTAAACTGATATTTTTAAGGAAGCAGGAGTATACTCAATCTAGTGGGTGACGCTCAAGATAATTTGATAGTTCTCATATTATGTATCCCACGGAAAGACAAAGCTAATGGAGTATCTATGATTTGTAACTACGTGATTATTGGAAAAATGTACACAGCAGTAAGATTACTCTCTTGATAACTACAGCTCCTATTATTTAATAATTAATCAGTAAAAAGGATGAACTTGAGTACTGTCAGTTTGCGCAAATGATTAGTACTTCTCGATTGACCGGACGATGGAAAAATATTTCTTCTAGTGGGACTTGGGAATAAACTGGATTGATAATGGGGGGGTGGATTTCGTTGCGCTAGTCCTCTAGTTCGTATCGGATATTCACAGGCCAAGAGGTAAAATATTTTTAGGGGTGACCTTTTCTATGTAATTTTCACACTTTCGGGGAGGTAGTATAGATACAGATTTTGATTATCTATGGAAAACACGCTACTGCTGCCAAATAGCCAACACAGCAGTACGATTACGTTCTCAAATATGAAACTAGTTGCTTTGAATTTCAGCACCGGTTCATCTGCTTGTGTGAGCTGGCAGGACCTAAAGGGAAGTGTATCAGTCAATGTAACTCATTCAGGTCGCCAAAACCGGCATCAACTACGATCAAGAAACTGAATACTCATTTTCTATTTCCATTATTTGTGGGTCCTCGTGAGTCTACAATCATTCCCAAAAAATATGTCGGCTCTCGGTGTTGCACCGCCTCGAATAAACCAATATGATACATGAAAGGTGGCGTTTGTAATGAATGTTACCGAATATTTTGCCTGGTAAAGTTTAGTAACTTTACCAAAGATTTATCTCGCGTAAGAAGTCTCATCTCTAACTTTATATTGCTTACTTGATAGTGTCTCTGATCGTTAGCGGTGCCATATATGTATCAGGGAGTCAAATGTAAATTTAAAAAAGCAGGGATGGGATATAACAAGTAAATATAGTTGATACTTACGTTCTTGGACCGCCATTGTTGTTTCATCTAGTGGATTAAGCTGACCAGGATAGGAGTTACCGAAACGAAGCTCCTTGATTGAATGAGATACGTTGAGCTAGATTAAAAGTTTGGGGAATAATTAGTGCAATATAAGCATACTTAAATGTCATGTGATCAAAACAAACTAAAGATAACAATCACCTATCATATATTTAGACAAAATTCAAAACAAGAAATTGTACAAATAATAGTCATTTGCGTAGTTCAAGTTGTTTCGATACTACTTTGAAATATCTACTATTAATAGGAAGAACTTTTATGCTGGACATAGCCAAGGTGAATAAATAAAGGGAATAATGAACACTCAGGCTTTAACAATGAAGTATGGAATACACAGAAACATTCTAAAATAACAAACAAATGTATAAATAAAAAAGGGTTTGTAGTTTGTAGCAAATTCATGCAGTCAATAACATAATGTAAGATAACTGTTATGAATCTATAAATTTACGGGCTTTTTTTGCTCTCCCGCAATGAATGAAGAGAATGTTTGTAGATCTTGTTGATTTTTGTTTTTATGAACACGTTTATATGAACTTTTAGACTAATCACCTGGTTATTTACGTCATTTAAATGTCAAATAAATAACGACATAATTCACTACTCTTATGTAGTGAAAACTCTGCGGTTGACCTTGCTTTTGTAGAAATAAAATGCACGTCTAAATCTCACTATCAGTGTGGTAAGTATAAAACTTCAATTAAATTACACTACACACACAAAATCCTTGGTAAATATAATTTTGTATGGTTTGAATTCTGAACAATATAACTGATACGTCAAAGTTTTCACTGTATCACTATACTGTAGTCTTGATATTTAGATACATTACTGCTTCCAAACTTGGATACACTTTAGATGTAAAACTACAGAGATTTCTCAGAACAGTTAAATTTTTACATATAACTGTGATATAAATATATACGAAACTACTCAACCAGTTTTTGATTTTGAGTACAAAAAGGGATGTGAAATAAAAGAGGGGTAGTGTAGATGAAATCGATTTGAATATTATAAACTAATATGAACTTAAACTCACATGAGTAGAGCCGAGACTCTGCATACTATGAACGTGTGCATGATTTTCAGTATAACTATGACCAGGAGCAATATGGAACGCCCCAGCAACTCGATTGACTGTTAAACTTCCGTGAATCCTACAACCTTGGTTGCCTATATTTCGTTTTATTTCATCCCAGTTTTCATTTCGGCACTGTTCAAATGCCGAAATATTTACGAATACCCATCGCATTTCATTATATGCCATTTGAACTTCCTCACATGTATTACAGCACCTGTAAATACAGATAGTAGAGTCATGGCAGTATATACACGGATTAGTAAACTAATCAAAATCAAGGAATACGAAAACATGCAGTTTTATATAGTACGGAGAAAGTTTAACTTGGTGAAGGGAGTAATTCAATGTAGTCTTCCGAATGGACATAGTTAAGATGTGTTCCTCATCCAGAAAAATCCTGAATTTTTCAGGACCCAGTGCATCCTCACATAAATTGATCATAAGCAGAGTTGATCGCAGTACTTATCTTGAGTTTCACCTGCCTCAGTAGGTTTGTGTCTGACGAAATTTTAATTGGTGTTAGCCAAATTGGATCACTTGTGATGAAAGCGAGATGTCCGTCAACATGGATACTAACGATTCGTGTGCGAGGAATTGTGCCTATCCCTTGATATAACCAGGTTCACCTATTTTTCAAAATAAGGAATGGAACAATTTAATGAAATACAGGGAACATCCAAACAACACAGCCATTTCCAGCTTGTTGCATGACGAACAACTTATTGTAATCTAGATCAACTGAAAGGTTCCCAGGAGACATAGAGAGATTATATCACAATGTTCGCAGATTTAACTGTAACAAGCTACCCAGGAAGAGAACAAAAGGACCAGGAGACTTAGTTAGGTAAATTGTCTTTTTACTTTAAATAGGGACATAGCTGCTTCTCAAAAGTATGAAAGATATATTTACAATGTTTTACAAACGTATCGAGATTTCGCAAAGATAACTGGTTTATTCTTAAAGCAGAAACTGTTTGCAGTTAGACAGGTGTTAACAAACTTCATATACATAGATGCAGATATGTAAAAAACAATAAGCAATTTTTCGAAACAAATCTAATGCAGGATAGAAAACGAGCCATTTATTTACTTACACTGATCAATGAACATAGTATTTTTATAACTTACTTTCTTGAAGGAGACTCTGCTCCATAACAAGAGCCACAGTAGTTGGGGTCTCTCGTAGTTGTGACAGCCGAAGCATCATTAACAACTGGAAGCAATATGATTGCATAAGTGCTTACCATGGCGAACACTATCCGACAAAGGTGTACCATCAACTGAAACACTGGTCTTATAGACTTCATGCATAATATTCAGTTGTTGTGCGCCCGTTGTGTCCATTGTATCCAGGCTTAAAACTAATTTGCATAGGAAATCGCACAAAGTTGACTTACATGCGCACGGGATAAAGTTTAATGTAATGTCCAGATAGATAGACATTTTTTCTCCACGGTTTACGTCCACAATAATTTCCTGTTTATTCTGTGGGCGCATAAATGATAGGAGCTCGGATGTGAACAAAATACCGATGATAAAACTACTTATTATTGAAACTAGGAATGATTGAGGGTTACCAAAAATGTAAGAAACATACCCATAGCTCCAGACATTGTTTTAATACGAAAATCTTTTAGTGGTTTCGCAAAAGCATCAAAATTCCGAAGCGACTTCATGACAATCCTTCTATTACTGGACAACGAACTTAGTTCGTAATATGTACGTCTGTGAACAAGGTCATTATTTGACGTGCCAAACCTCGCAAAAACAATATTAATTTGAGTGACCGAATGGTCACTCAATACAATAATCTTTGGGATTACCAAGCTTCTGTGTATAGTAAAATACCTACTGAAACGGAAAAACTAAGCAAGTTATGGGAACACTTTAAACATGAGCGTATAATCCAACGGGTTTCTTTGTTCTTCATAGGTATGAATAGAAAATGATATAACCAGTGTAATTTCACAAAGATTTTGAATTTATAAATGTCTGGTCTGCCAAATCACCAGGTAGGACGGTCAGTTACTGTCGAACAGTTTATCGGTCTTCGTCAAGGTCAGTAGCCACCATCTCGTAACAATAGATTTCAAGCGATAGAATGGCCTTTGTAGCAGTGACCGCATTATGTTTTCTCAATTTATTCTTGCCAATAATTCTTCTTGATGATGTAAACTTTTTCTGTATCGTGCGAGCAGTAAATTCAACGTGAGCCAGGAGGTCGCACTATTTTCACCCGACCTGGGTTTACCCCGATCAACGATATTAATCCAAATCTTTTGTAAGTTTCGATTACAGTTTTCTCTTTTAAGTGAAGGTTGCCACCACCTACATTTTAGGTCTAATGCTGGTAAAACATATATGTGAATGACAACATAGTGTTGAAACTGGAAGCCAGTGATTGTATGTTTATAAGCATAAGCTGCAATAACAACGTCGTAATGAGTAGCTCATTTTGGAGCGTTGAATTGTCAAACCTTGTCAAATGGAGGCAAAGACTGGAGAAGTTCGCTGAATCTACAAATAGTCTGAGGAGTTATTTCTTTAAACATTGAAAATAACTCGTCATGATCATAATTTTTGTCCTTCCATATTGTTCAATATGGACACGATCAACTATGACCAACATATCCTCCAATTCCTCTTCTGAGAAGGAAGAGGAAGCTTTAAAAATGGAGTCTCTATAACATGGATTGTATGTATGGAAGTCAGATTTTCATGGTAAGATGACATTTATCAAGTTTGCAGTTGAAGTGGACAAAAAAGAGGAACAACGACAGATTACTATAATGCGCTCAACTACTGCGCAAATAGAATGCAAACAGAAACTAAATGTTTTGTACAACAACAATACGAAAATAAGCAGACAAAAATCAGCGTAGTATATATAGTTAGACGAATTAAACTCTGATATACGAAATAGGAAGTTTTAAATTACATCAGAATTGTATTTGCTCAACAGTTTTCCAGAATAATCCTCTTGAACTAAAATCCTTTTAGAAAACGGGCAAAAGCTCGCCTACCGGTGAAATCAAATATGAATAAACACTGAAGGTAATCTGTGGTGTTGTAGCGATTTCGCTTTCATAAGGAAAAACACGATTGGTTAAACAACAAAATTCTTTATCTTAGTCGCTTTTACCAGTGAACCCACCATCGAGTTTTTCTCATGACGCCTCGCTTCCGCTAAGACGACATATAGTGCTCTTGGTCGAGAACACTTTTAGGAGCTTACTGTGCCATCAAACATTTTTGGCACTCAAAAGACGGTCGTAAATTTATACTGTTCACAGACCATAAGCTTCTAACCTAATCTTTGCATACAAAGTCTGGTCGTAACTAACTACGAGAATGCAGACAGCTAGACTACATCCTCCAGTTCACGACAGACTCTGCTGAATCTCTGTCACGTATCCAAATAAATGCAGTTATTTCACCTGTTCTCAACCTGCCTGCTCTAGCTGCCTATCAAGCACGAGATATTCCAGGAAGCGTCCCTAACTACTAGCTTAGGTGCTATCCTGTGTGATACTACCGCGAATCTACCTCAACCCATCATACCCCATGCCTATTGTCCTCTTGTGTTCGACAACATCCATGAACCCTTTCACCTAGACATCGCGACATCATTGCTGACTATGCGTATGGCTTCCCAAGAATGAAGATAATCTTACGTGGGCAAAGCAATGTTTACAATGTCAACGATCAAAAGTGCATAGGGACGTAGCTGCTCCTATTTTATTCGGGTGCTAAGCCGGATGCTTGCTTCGATCATGTTCATATTGACACTGTGGGACCATCGACACAGTCGCACGGGTATAATCACATACTCACGTGCATCGATCGTCTCACAAGATCGCTCGAAGCTATTCCCATTACGTCTAATAAGACGGAGACAGCTGTTCAACACTTCGTGGAACGATGGATAGCGCTATACGGTTGTCGCTGTCACGACTGACCGAGGACAACAACTCGAGTCCGAATTATTCTCCTCGCTGACCCGGCTGTTAAGTACGGAGCGCATACGCACTACCGCCTACCACCCAGCTTCAAATGGTTAAGTCGAACGGTTTTATCGTCAACTTCAAAGTGCTTTTCGAACATACGAAAACACTAATTGGTACGAAACCTTACCACTCTTCCTTTTACGTATCAGGACGAGTTTAAAGGTAGATATTCAGTGTTTCACCGCTGAATTTATATACGGCACGACATTGCGTCTGCCTGTAGAATTTTTCACACCACGTAGCAGCGATAGCTTCAATAAATCAGACTACGTCCAAAGATTGTCTGAATTTATGCAAGCGCTGCTTCCGGTGTCAACTTGAGTTCGGCATCGACAGGTCGCTCTCCCTCGAGAGTCCTCTACCTGTTCGCATGTTTTCATCCGAGTCGATTCGGTTGCAAACCTTTCCAACAACCTTATGAAGGAACTTTTCACGTGATTTCTCGTCACGTAAAGACCTTCAGGGTTGATTAACATGGTCGCTTCGACTACGTGGCCTCAGCTTTCGATGAGACTGCAGTCTTGAGCTCTCAACCACGAGGTTCGAACGAGACTACCGTCTCACGTTCAGGTCGCCAGATAAATGTGCCTGCACTGTTTTGCGACTGGCCCCTCAATAATTCACGCAGAGGACTCTGTCCTTTACTGAATGGTTGCTACAGCCACTTCCTTTTTTTGAAATATTTTTCCCTTAGCTTACACCGACAACTTCACTCAACCTAGGCTACAGCTGGTCTGATCACCCTCTCCCTTGTCAAAGTACCCGGTTGACATTCTGGTCCCGACAACATCTGATATACTAATGACCCTAACTCTGGTTATCATGGTCTTTTCTGATTTCAGAAAGCAACTTGTTTTCGTTCTGAGTCTGCAGAATTTTCTGAACCATGCCTTTAGGACACTTTCCTCAGCTTCCAAATATAAACCACTGTTGTGTGAGACTCCAATTCGAGCAGCAAACACGTCTCGTTGCCATTTGACGTAAAAGACCTTCAATGACAACTGGAGAATAAATTATTATTATTATTATTATTAGATAGCCTCCTTTTCGTCAATCCTTTCTTCCTACAATCTCACGTTTGTTGATCAACCCCACTGACGAAACTTCCACCATTCGAAAGCTTCCAATATTTCTATAGGGGAGCTGCTGAAGTGATTTCACTTCACGAAAATAAACCCGATTGGTCAGATAACAGCATTCACTATTGCAATCAGTCGTACCAGGGAACCCGTTATGGAATATTCGTTTGTCCGCGCTTTGGTTTTATGCAATGTCCTTCTTTCTTTCTGCATATATACTCCCATTACACTAAGGCTACGTGGCTTCTGTTCCTCCATTTCGCCATATTGTCTTGGTTGCTCTGAACCTTCGCTCATTCTCTGGCGTATCTCGGTATTTCTTTGATACCACGAAATAGCCAGCAAATGAACATATTTCATCTGGAATATTCCGTCTATTTACTTCCCATAAAGGTTTTGAGATAACGTACAGGACCCGAAATCAATTCATATGTAGACAACTTTTTACTCCCGTGATTCGAACATCTGTTGTATCAAAGATTGATGGACGTTGCATGCTCACTAACAACATTTTTCGAACCATTGACTTAAGATCGCTTAGCTCTATTACACGTAATTTTGTTGGTGTTAACATGTCTTTTAAAGAACTAGTCCGTTGGAATAACAGAAATTTCAGGTAACGGTAGCCGGAAAAATAATTAGCAATAATGATAACTGTACCAGAGAGAAGTGTAAAACCTCCAAAACATTTATACCATTTAAACTGTTAAGACAAATTGGGACGTACGGTGGAAATATAAGGTGGCAGTTAAATAATATAGACCAGGTGCACTTCGCGCCAAAGCCTAACAATATCATTGTGCAAGGAGCAGTCGTCAAGATTTTTAGATAGCGTCACGAATTTGCACTTCTTTTGTGCGACCTTAGATTTAAGTAAATTTTAAATACGCATATAAGTAATTTATCACATTTGATAAGCTTCTAAACATAGCCGCATATGCGACCTCTAAAAAATTATTAAGTGTCCATGTGAGTTAGTCAGCATGAATGTCAATCTGATAAGCCAGCCTATCCAGTCTACCGTTAGAGTGGTTAAAAGATATTTTCAGTGATTTAAGCTGCTCGTTTACTTTACTGTTTGATATCACCCACTTAACATACTACAAAGGAGCTATATGATCTCTGAATAAGTTGATTTTTCTGTTTGTCAGTAAAAATTTATTCAAAGGAACAACAGTTACAAATATGTGAACCTGATTTGAGTAAATACACCCAACCAACCTATCATATGAGTGAAAAGATTAGTCAAAATGCTTCTGGTTAAGACGATAAATAAGCTAAACATTGGCTGAGTCCATAGTGGACTCTGTTACGGGAGAAATGAAGACATTTTTCTGATCAAAACCTTTATATAAATATCATTAATTTCACTGTGTTTTTTGGGTATATTTGTTTTACTTAACTTATGAACTTGTTTGAATTATTATTTTCGGCCATTTTGGACTCCTGTTTGTCTTGGTTTGTTCGTTTGCAGTTTTTTGCTCCAGGAATCTATAAAATAGGTAATTGTAATTAATATAATTATTGTTGTTAGAACGACATTGGTCGTCTATTTGTAATAAACAAACGACATTTTGGTCGATTATTTGGGAATTGACAATAAACTTTGGAGTTTCGTTTTGATATAATCTTTGGGCTCGTGAATTGCAAATAGATTGACACACAGTGCTTCTAAGGATCAAGGAGCAAAAAATTGGACGTAACAGACTCCACCTAATTGCGTAGTATGACTTTTCTCCTCTTATATACCGTTTGGTCTTCAGATAGCATGTAAGCACACGCACGCGAATATCAACCACCTAGTTCACTCAAACTTCTGATACGAGAGCGGTAACCGGGAATGAAAATCCTCACATCAGTAAATTCGAAACAACTAAATTAAGGTTAAAGAGTCCCATTCATCTCTCAAAGTGATGTTAACTAAGAGTTGTAACGAAGTTGTTATGTTCGGCGAGTCAGTTACCACCTGCTCCACAACCCGATAAGTCTTGGTCTTTCTCGTCGATGCTGCACTAAATATATGATGTTGATTAAAGGCATTGTTATTATTCTGATTAATAACAAATCTGCTTGATCATTTTCATGTCTGGAGTCACAACTTGCCTAGTGACGCAGTTCAGCGATTTCTATAATGTTCTATCCGCCGCCAGCGTTACTCCTTAATTCCCACTCCAGGTGGTTTGTTCCCTGTCGCAGTAAGTTGTAGACAATGGCGTTTGGCCAATGAATTTGGGGGATGCGAATTCTGCATCAACGTTTGAATACGTTAAGATCTGATGAGTCACTGTCGCAAGTTTAAATAATTAACATAGGGCACAAAGCATAACTGCGACAAACTTTCACTGAGTAACAATAACCAATCATTACTTTTACGGAGATCTAAAGTAACACATGTAAGTCCATATGGATCTAAAGGAATTTTTATTCAGCGTTGAGTAGAACCTTCGCAGAAGCATCTACAAGACGGAATTAAACCGGACACGACAACTCATATTACTACTATAGGTGGCACGATCCCGGAAACTCAGAAGCGCAAGCTTCTGAGTAACTTTATAAATACCCCAAACTTGGACTAAAGAATACTGATCACATTGCGCTTTTTTGATTGAGTCCGAGTTGCCGAGCAGAGTTCATTCAGCACTGGATCTAGGTACACTGTGTTGATCAGTCTTCAAATACAATACTAATGTGCACGATTTGCATGCTGTTGTAAAGACCTTTGAAACATCGTTGACAGTAACTACGTACAAGATAATAGTTCAAAGATTTTATGTGGTTCAGCCTTGTAAGTGAGATCATTTGTTTTCCCAAAAAGACTGTCCGTCCCTAGTCACGGACACATCAAGAATTAATCATCCAACGTGCCATTTGAAAGATTCATTTTTTTTATTCATAATTCCCATTTTTTAAAAATTAAATAAGTCAGTGTGATTTTGAAAAATGCGTTTAATTTCACACTCAAAAAGATGAATGACTGGTGTTTGAGCCAAAAAAGAAAAAACTTTACAGGTTTCTCAATTGGTCATATATGAAACTACAAAACTTTGGTATATGCAGATACAGTAAAAATGGGAAAACTTATGGCTAGAAATTCACTGTCGTTTAGCTTATGAATTGTAAAAAAACAACTGAAAGTACACAACAGAGGAAGCTGAAAATCTGATTAAATTATATAGTTGATAAGATATCAATGTAAAAGACTCTTTGGTTGTTCTCATAAACCAAGTGAAAAAATATTCAATAAAAAAGAGGAATACACCGAACACGAACAGATACAGAAAAAAAATCGTTATATAAAAATGTACATATCAAAAGCGTATTTAAAAAAATAAGATGAAGTGTGAAAAGTCGTACAGATTCTTACGTTGAAAAAATAAAGTAATGTTTATTAAACCTTTTGGAGGTAGAATAGCGATTGTAAAATTAAAAAGAATCTAGAGTTTTTTCAATAATTTTGCTTTTATTTATTGTTCAGTTGTCAGAATTATCACGAGATGGATTTAGGGTATATTTTGTAAAATGAACTATTTATCCACGGAATAATTTCCTAATAATAATCCACTTAAGAGAAATTAAGTAAATGCGGAACAATATATTTTCAGTGAACCGAACACAAAATTCAAAACGCTGTGATACTCACATCTGCGGAACTTGTACACTGAACAGAGCCTGACTGAAAAAGATGAAAAATTTTTAGTGAGTTTTAAGCAAATGAAATGCGGTCTTCAAGAAGAAACCTACTGAGTCTGATCACTCGGACTGTTAGGCGAATTTCGAAAATAACAGACGACTTATTGGATGTGAAACAGCTACAAAAAACCTCAGCGGTATGCTGTGAATCATGGCCTATATGGATATGAGGGATGCTTAGGCTGTGGGTTTAGATCGTATGTACATTTGAAACAGTGACCACTTTTCGTGCCAAGTCAGCAAGGTTACGAGCTTAATTTAATGAGGTAATCAGGAATTGTTATGCATGACTAACCACCACCCATCTATACAAGTGATCTTTAAATACAGCAAACGACGGTAGCAAAAACAGATAAAGAGGATCAGGCGAAAATGTGGTATGAGTCCATAAAGTAATTGACTATAGACCTAAGCGATTCAGTAGATGCAGACTATCTAGATGCGGTGTACATGATAATTTCAACATATTGTTGGAAACTGGGTGGTGTCTCGGAATCGGTTAGAATAGAACAGAAGCATCGAGAACTTATCTTCCTATCAACTATGACTCACGGTACGTCTTCATAACTACACGTTTTTAATTTGCCCTTTCAAACTATATTTCCAAGGGTAAATCTTTTTATAATTGCCAGTACATTAGTTCGGTTTTTTCATTTTTATCTTGTTATGTTAATCAGGTATAGTAACCCCGATCAATGTACATCTGTTTCAGGCATTAAGTTGATGGCATATGTCTGTCAGCTGCAACACTAACATTTTTCAAGACAAACTTAGAGTGAGACTCGTGAAAACTTACAGCAGTTGTGAATGAACACGATTGAAACTAAGCTTTTAGTATGCTCAGAATCTCATATTATACTAAACATATACTGAGTGGAGTCATTATATTTATTTCATTTAAATATAAATAACTGTTATCAAAACATACTGCACGCCATGTCAAGTCGCTTTAATCAGGGCTACACTGCATAAACACTTAACGAACAAGGATACTACTTAGTTATTAACGCAAATGTTGAAACAATCTGCAAAATCCCTCATAAATCAGTGCTAATTTCTGAGACAGTGACAGACATGAGTTGTACAAGAAATATATTTATAATTTAAAAATTGTAAAGTATGGAGATTTTGAAATGATGTAGTTGGGCGAAGCTAAGATGACTTACGTTATTGGGACAAGAAGGGGATCTGCTTCCTTCAGCTGGACCAGGCGTGCTCAATTCATGCTGCAATTCTTCACCTACACAGTACGGAGATAGAAATACAAATCAGTAAATACTAACAATATTAATTCAAGAATTAAATATTTTTACAATAACCGACTAACGTTTCTTGTTAGTAGGATAATGGAGCACCGGTTTATCAATGACTTTCAATAACAAAATCAATATCAAGAATTTGTTTTGTGTTGAGATATGAACACCTTGCAATTAGTGAATTGCAGAGTTAAATACAATATATTTGAGAACTTGAGTCAAACATTCTTCTTGAAACTGTTATGATGTTGTCTCTAAAGTAAGAATTCTGGACATAAAAATCATTCACGCTATATGAAGATAAGTAACTAGATATATAATACTTATTTACACAAGCACAGATAGTTACTGTCACACACACATGCCAAAAATTATATATGCAAACACGGAGCATTCTTATTACAAGGAAAGAGGAAGTAATGATTTTGTTTTGAAAGATGTTATCAATAATTTTTTGTTCTAACATTTTGTCGCAGCTTTTTGATTCGGTTATTATTCTTACTGATTAGTTAACGGGTAAAATGAATTGAAATTCATATAACAAAGTACTAAAAACGCAGTAAAATTCACTTCGTTTCTAATAATTCCCTTGTTTGTAAAATTCACTAACTCTGTACATGTAACAATACATGTTGACAAAACAGACAAGCCCGTGAATAAGTATAAATCATATTTATAATATATGATTTGATAGAAAACACTTGAATGATATTTATCAACATACAAAAATTAACAGAATGATATGAATATTAAACTAGTTGAATTGAAACAGCATTAAAAATTCAAAAAACCAAGAAAGACAGACAGACATACAACGCAGAACTTCGTACGAAAGTACATCAAGTTCAGGTTGCCATACCACATCAGCACAGAAACGCAACTGTCAGTTCAAATCCAACAATGATAGCAATAATAGAAGTATTAGCAGTAATGGAGAAGGTTAGGGCGCGAAGATATGATTCGAGAAGTATAATTCAATAAGATAAGTTTAGAAGGAGAAAGGTAGAGATTATGAGGAATGCAGAAGCTTAGAATTTCATAGAACACAAAGAGTGGATGCACTTGCGCCATTGCAAACGATTCCGAGCCATGTCATTCAAGGTCTCTAACCATCGGTGACTATCGTCTCACGGACCCCAACCAGGTAGTAGCCTACATCTACCAACATGACTCAGTCCACTTGTCAGTGACTTCATGGATTTGTGCCATGTTTTGGTTTGGCCGCCCTTAGCTTTCTTCCAACCTACTCCTACTCCTACTCCTACACTGCAAAGCAAAACATAGCTCGTCGCGGTAGTCAGTGGTTAGCCATACGTAACACATGTCCCAACCATCTCAACTGATGAAGTTTCACTCCTTCATCTATTGATTTGCCATCCCTACCTAGATCTTATACGGTTGCCCTAGGATACACGAGTAATGCTTCGGAGATATCGATGATCGAAGACTAGTAACCTACGGAAGTCTTCTACTCTTAACGGCCAAGTCTCGCATCTGTACAGTAGGGCGGAGTGAACCAAAGACCACTGCAACTAACAAAATTTATAATAAACTTACGTTTTCGAACCATAGAACTTGTTTTGATTACTTCACTTGGAGATGGAGCATCAGCTAAACCATCTGGCATTGGTGGTGTATTTACTTCGCCTAAATTGTCAAGGATAGTTAAAGTACGATCATTTGAATCTGATGAACATGGGGACAACATTTCATCAGAATGTGAAACAGGATTAGTCATTGGAGTAGTAGTTACAAATTCGTTGGATTTAATATGTGAATTATTTCGAATATCTGATCGTTCCCGATTTACAAGCGTTATACATGGTGAACTATTATCAGAATTGGTTCCACGATCATCACTGTCTGGTGTATTATGAATTCTTGGTGTAAGTTCAGTAAAATGTTTTTGTCGTAGTTGAGCTTGAGCAGATTTGTTAGCAGCTTCAGAATAAAATGGTAGAAATTCTGTAGGTGAACTAGGAGGTATTTGCGGTCCTGGAGATGTGCCTAACCTAGGCAAACTATCTCCATCATCTTCACTTTCCAGATCCAGAGTGAAAGGAGTAATTGGAGGACGAAAAACTGTTGTAACATTTGTGCGTTCAGAGGTTGAAACAGAAAGATTCGAGTTATAACTTTGACTTCTAGAGTTCATTACATAGTCAGATGGTTGCTGGTCAAACAGATTGGTCTTAGATGATAAGGGACCGGGAATCTAAAGCATAAAATGATTGGTCATAAATATAGAGTGATTTTCCTTGGCAAAGTTTAGTCATATTTATGAAATGTTGCACAAAATAATAAATTTAGAACTATAAACTCCATTTTCAGACTTTACCAATATCTGATGTATTTTGTTGATGTGGAAAAAAATGACGAATATCAGATATCTTCCACTGTATATTTTACTTCTAATGTTAACATAATTTTTGACAAAAGATTGTCAAATCAACAACGTTACACAAAGAACATCATTTAAATAATTTCCATTCTTATCGGTTATTTTATATGAATTAAGATATCTTTTTGTTTTTTCATCTTTGTAGTGAATTTTTTACTTCGATTAGGATCAATGAACTTTGACTCAAAGCATTACAGATTTAAAAGTTTGGGAGTACCTGATACTTGCATTTTATATAAAGCTAATAGATAATGAGCTGCATATAGTACAATTTCCCATTTTAGTTACTGTTGTAATGCTTGCTTATATAATTCCCAGGCTAAATCCTATTGCTTAATATTCTCTGACCACAATACACTGGACAAGTTCCAAAGAATCAAAAACACGGTTGAACAGGAAAATATTATATTCCAAATAGAATGGTTAAATGGAATAAGAGCCGAAGGCGAAGGCAAAAATAGATACGTTAGTCTATTTGTAGCATTTACATGAGAAGCTTCTGGATAGAAATTCACGTGATCGACTGGGTTAGATTTAACCAATCAGCACGCAGCTAACAGTACGAGAATCTTCTACCCTGTTCTCCAAGATTCGATCAGGCGCTGATTGGATAGGAAATTAGCCAATCAACGCGCAGCAACGTAGTCATGCTTTAATTCATCTATGTCCCCCTAACAGTTACCGAAAAACATTCAGTGAAAATTACGGATGACTTTTAGACAAATTTTATGGAAAACAACTTACATTCCAAGACGAATGAGACGAACCAGCATTGTTTTGAACATGATGAGATCTCATATGTCCATGTGATGGTGGTGCGGGGCTATGCATCTCAAGCCCTTCATAGCGACCAGGATAATAAGGAGAAGGCATAGACGGTGACTGATCAAGAGTGCTTATGCTATATTGACGGGTAGTACCGCAAGATCCAGTATATCCGGTAGGAATCTGAGGTGGATTAGATGAACTGCTTCCACTGCTCGCTGGTGAAGGAACAGTCAAAGTGTTATGGGTAATAATTGGTGTCACTTGTTCAGAATACCGTTCATTACCATCTGGAAAACTAACACCGCTGAGTGATGGACCATCTGTTGACAAAGAATTAGAACTCGAACCAGAGGCTGTAGATAAATAACGAGCACGTTTGTTAGGACTTTGACCGCCTAGGTGAAATCGTGGCTACATGTAAAGTAGAAAACAGAATTTCAGTAACAGACTTAAATGATAAAGTTATCACTACTAATATACGAAAGAAGTATTTTGGGAAATTAAGATAAGCAACTGGTCAAAGCGGTTACATATGTAAAACGAGACAGTTAGCATAATCGATTGTTCTGTTTATTTACAAAATTTACAGCAGCAGTGTGATCTCCAATTCTAATTTTTGTATGATTTCTATGCATTATTCACCAGATGTAATCAAACTGGTTACTGTGCTACTTATAAACAAAGCTTAAAGTGCTAGGCAAAACAATCACTTTGGGACGATAAAACATACCGATGGTTCGTAAGCACCTGGGGCTTCTCCCGGATGTGGTAGGACAGTTCGCTTGAATCCCACTTGGTTAGAGTCCGTAGTCGTTGTAGACAGATGTGAAACTTGAGCATAAGGGCTGCGTGCACCCACGCCAGGAGGAAGTGGGGCAGGCGGTTGTTGGGATCTGGGATATGGAGATGTAATTTGATGGGCAGGATACATCGAGCTGTTTGCAATTGGCGAATGATAACCGCCCAAGTTTGTATACACTGAATCAGATTGAGACGTTGGTGTGGATGTTTCCAAAATGCTTAAAATGAAACAAATATAAGCATAAAACTTATAGAATGAAATAATACTATGATGAGTACGAGGACACACATGAATAACTAAAAACATAAAATCGCGAAAGAGCTTCGAACAATCAATTGTAAAATTAAACATCACATATGCGGAATGATAACCATACCCGGAATGTTTTTCCCTGTGGGCAATAGGAGGAGTAGATGCATTAGTGTTTGTAGTAACGTGTCGTGGATCAACAGATGGTGATGCAGGACTGTGAGTCGGACCAAGTGTTGACGAGAAAGTAGACCCCAAAACACATGGAGGAAAATTTGGCACACCAGATTGTTGTTTCTGATGTGCTGCGACAGCGGCTGCTGCAGCTAAAGCCATTGCGGTAGACGGATGTGCTAAACCAGGTGCACCACTGTGAGAATATGGGTGGTTGATAGCGTTATTCCGAAAGTTCTAAAAGAGAGAAGTAAGTAATTCAAATATGAATACTGAACCTAGGATGAGAATATATATCAATAAATTAAGGGTGGAAAGAAACCTTCAGAATATATATGTAACCTAAAAAGGCAGAGTACCTGACTAAAGCTGAACGGGTAATTAGATAATTGCTGATTGGATGACTGGAATGCAGACGGAGAGGCTAGGACAGCAGCTGTATATGCACCAACTCCACTAGTTTGTGGTAAAGAAGTCTGTAGTTCATATGGCTTGTAACAGCCACCACGTTGAGGAGTGCTACAATGCGGCGGTTGTATTGAAGGGTTATCTCCAGAGGCAACGACAGGTGGGACAGAATGTACTCCATGATTATTTAAATTATGATTGATATTAGGAATGGGAAGATTTTGATGTCTATTATCTGGTGCAGCTGATCGAGAGACAGCAGTGACTGGGGAGCCAATATTGTTTGTTAGTGTATGGAAACCTATAAATGCGAAACGATTAATAATTGTCATTAAAATGTTAAAGGGAGAAGCAATGTGGGTATATTTACTAAACAATTAATAGTCATTCACGGCGTACAACTATAACCAAAATATAAAAGATGGATCGAACAACAGTTTAATGAGCTTTCTAAAAAAGAACCGATGATACATAGACTGGCGTAATTACTGTCAAAAATAACTTGGTTTATTAACAGTAAATAAGTGAATATTTTTTTTATTATTGTAATACGAAAATAATCAGAGTGCTAAAATGATGGAATCTAAAGGATCTTTTAACCATGAGCAAGAATAATATGTCTAAAACCGAACTATAGAATGAACAACTAAAACATGGAATTCTATTGATTACGAATGTTAAATTACTACAATGAGAAAGATTACGGGAACACAAATATACTTACCTCCGTTAGGAGAGATCAAATGTAAAATAACCCTGTAGAATATTTCATAAAATTATTAAAAATTACAAGGCCAAATATATGAACAAAATACACTCTATCTAACGATTGATCTACAAATCGGATAATTTACAAAAAAAACTTCAAGGCTTGATAGTATTATTTGAAATAGCAATAATTAAAAAAATATCAAAACAAGATAAACTTACTTTCATTCTTAGTACATTCCGATTTACATGATGATAAATCACTGGTAGACGAATTCTGACGTCCATTTCGTATTTTTCCGAATGCTGACTTCACAGAGCCTGAATTATGAAAAAAAAAGTGAATCATGTAATACAATGCACAGTGACAGTTTAGAAAGTTATCCAATATAATCAGTCTAACTTGGTAAAAAAAATTTAAAGAAAAGGAAAACATAACTGAATTTCATAAAAATTCTTATCAGGAACTGATAAGTTACGTACAAGCTACTAGTTCTTTTGATGTGTAAAAACTTATAAAATGATCCAGATATACAAACTGAAAGAAGATGAGTAATGCTCTAGACTAGTGGAGCTATAGGCCAGAAATTAATGGTAATAAGCATTGAGTAACAGGTGTATTGTATTATAAGTAACGTTTGTGAAGTATTGGATAGTAATGAAAAATTCAGTTTAATATAAAACAATTAGGCGATGAAACAAATGAATGGAAAGTCAGGTGACATCACAATAAAAGCTAGTTTATCTATCTGACAAGTACATTTGTGATATGCTAACAACGAAAGGAAATCCAAACTTACTTTTAAAATTGCATTCATCTATAGATATATGGTGTTTCATAAACTGAATTGCCAATTAACCAGTTGATAAAAACATTATTATGTGGCCTATTTACTTATGCAAAGAAAATAATTCTTGCATATAAATTAGAACATTTAGACGTATCATTTCGTCAAATTAAGTGGATGTTACGAACCGGGCAAAAAAAAAGACTAAATACATTTGGCTATATATATAACCATCCACGTAAATTAGACAGGTGTGAACGCAGTTGTAAAACTATAAACAAACAAATGTGACCTTTATGTTTAAAAAAATCTTTCCGTTAAAAAACAATCGTTGATGTGTATCACAAATAGAATAGAGAAACAAATAGCTAGGATAGAACATAGCATCATAGTTTACTGTTGTTCGCTAATATTTTAAGTCATCGACTGCCAGATGAGTGATAGCATTTCACCTGCAGCATCTTAGTAGATTGAATAAGCCAGACAGATTTCATGCAAACGAGAGATGGAAGGTGTTCCTCGTAGGCTTTCTGATTAATCTAAATATGCTACAAAGAATATATGATCAACTTATGACTCTCTCGCGTGATCAGAGTTTCAAAAGATGTACTAGTCAATAGATTAACGAACCTTTTTGAAGCATTTCAGCGAGCGCTGTAGTAGGTGGCGGTGAAAAAGAACTCGGAGGGTTAGCAGCATGAGCGATCAAAGCAAACGCATGCTTGGATCTGGAGTTAACATAACGGTTAGCAACAAGATGTTGGGCAAGCTGAAATAGCGACTTGAACTGCACACCAAAAACTTGGTGACCATATTCCAGGAGAATATGAGCCACGTCTGCAACCACAGAACCTCGAATTCCTAAGGCAGTTCGTACAGATGGATCATCAGCCCAACTGCTAGTATCAATATCAGATCCGTTGGACTTCAGAAGACGAATTAATGGACTATTTGATGACATATGCCTTTGAGATCCAGCTTCGAAACTTCCACCAGAACTACTTCCAGGTGAACCAGTACATCTCCCAGCCATGTTTTGGGAGCTAATACCAAGAGCTTCATTGGTGAGATCAGGTAGATAGGGTGGCTGGATTTCTGTCTTTTTACGCATCCCACCATAGCAGTATCTAAAACAACAAGCAATTAAAGAATTAAATAGATATGTACACCGAAGGATGACGTAACCATTTATTTTAACCTACGATAAGGACAATGTGGTATAAAGATTTATTTCCTTTCAGAGAGAACGGTTTAACAATAACCCAAAACATTAATATGGGCTGCAGTATATTCAAATAAATTAAGCATATGGAGCGAAGGATATGAATATAAGTTCGGTAGAATATTTAATTGATGTAGTAACAAAAAATGTTTATACTCCTCATCTAAATCTACAGATAAATATGAACAAGATTTGGTTTAGTTAATTTATTTTTATCGAAACTAATTACTAAGTACACGGGTTTGTTCTAGTCTTGGAACAACACTTTTGTATATGAGCCTACATGGGACTTGAACAGCCTCTTGAACTGAAATAGGGTGATGGGTATGAGTCTGTTACCTGATGATTGGAATCTAAGTGCTTTAACTACTAAGACATATCCAAACAACAATCATATCGTTTAAAATACATGTGGCAGATAGCTAAACCTATTCCTAACTAGTGTTTCGGAAGGCACTATGAGAGGGGATATGAACAAACGATTCAGTCAAACGGGTCACGTGATTTTAAGATCAGATGATACATCTGGGATATTAATAAAGCATCGATGAACGCATACGTCAGAAGTAACATGTTTAACCCTAGTACATAGTTCCATTTTCAAGGTCAGATGAAAAAAAAACATGGCCAAGAATAAGTAAATTTATGAAAAAATACATTAACAGGGTTTAAGATATTTTTGAACAAATACTGTTTAACATTGTTTAAAAGGGCGATCCGATAATCGAGGCAGCTGAATTATGATTACCGAGATCGATGTTTTAAAAAATTTAGTCATAAAGCTTTTTTTCAGAATTAGTATCCATTACCAGTATGTGCGATAGGAAACATTTACCCATTTTACAAACGGGAATGTGATGTGAAGTTAGAATCCAATCCTTCAGAGTTCAATTTTAAATGCTCAATAAAAAGTAGATTGTATATAAGATTGAGCAAGTAAAGTGATTGATACAAACTTAGAATGCGTTCCCATCGGATAAATCTCAATTCAAGTAATGATGTACATATTACAAAGAATCGCATTTTCCTGAAAATATACTTAACACCGACGATAAGAGTGACTTACAACAATGATTTGAAATTACATAGAGTGCTGGTGATTGGAATGAATTTTTCACTTCATTCAAATTACCGAGTACATTTAGTAAATTTGACTGGTGTATAAAAATAATGTACAAATCATATTCAACTTAAAATAGGAATAAATCAAAAGTTTCTTTTTGTTGCAGAAGTGATTACGCTTAGACAGGTAAGATAATCGGTAAACTATAAAAAATTTTTGAATTAGTTTATATGAGCGACAGGCGGAACCAGACAATTAAAATGGAAATACTTCGAAGGCTTTAATCTGGTTAAAGAATGGACTACGTATGGGTGAGAGAAAAATGAATAAAATTTACAAGAGCCAATAGAATCACAGTTTGGTTAGGGGGGTGTTGATAGTAATTTTCTTCGCATATAAATGTAATTGTTACCCTAGCTGTCACTAAATGCATCAAATCACTCTGTAGACAAAGCCAGACTAGATCACCTTGTTAGGCCTGAAAATAACATAGATTAAAGGTTTCGAGTCAGTTAATCTCTGCAGGACAACAAATTCTAAGCATAGGAGAGAATGATTAAGGGTCACATAGGCTGATAGACAAAATGCTATTCACACGCAGAGAAAACAGGCTGAAAGAATTATGCCTTGAAAATGTAAGGATATTGAGGGATTAGCGATGGTAATCGGAGTTTTAGTCACTAGAATTATGTTAAAAAGTCGAATCGGTGGAAAGTCATTTCAGAAAAGTAAAACTTGGTAAAAATTGAGATTATACTAGGCGTAGCACTGGATTTTATGATGGTAATGGTAGTTAATAGATTTTACGACAGTATTCAACAGCAATTTTAATGACAACTGCCTAAGTTTGTATGTCAAGCAAATAATTAACTAACTGAAACTAGTAGTGATTTATATTTACAATTGTAATGACGACAATTTATCTGATGCTATACGGAAACGATTCAGTCAAACCTTGTGAGACAAAATCCCAAATTTCGAACGAAATCTTAGAAGATAAAATTACTAGTCTATTGATTGCGTGTATATACATAATAACACGAAAATTATCTAAAAATGTTAACCTTGATATCATTCGAAAAGCTAACAATAGCGGTACGATACAGATTTAAAAGGCTGATTTTTATTATAGTATAACTGAAGGTTACGGATAACTATCAGAACTGTTCATTTAACAAGTACAAGCATCAAACTAATCTTATGTAAGGATCAGTTATAACAAAAGAGTTTAAAAGATCGTTAGGCTGAGTGAGTAGCTACAACGTACAACCTGGAACATACGCAATTCAGTTCAAATTGGCATAACACATTAGCACAGAGATTCGCGAAATGACAAATTCCAAGTCTTCTGGTCGCCTTGAACGAGAATTTAAACTATATTTGGAATGTTTCGCTTTTTCTGAACACAAAATGCTACTTTAGTACTGGCACATACCAATGCCTACACTAATGATAGGGAGTAACGCATGTCGACTACGTCAATTATCTTGAGTCTCATCAACACTTATCCCTCGGTGTCTGAAGAAATCTCAGCATGGATTTAGAAAGCTCGGTTGGCTTATGCTGATTCGCGCTATTGAAGGAGTAATGGAGATATCTGTCTACGAACCGAAGGACCAGTTTAGTAAGCAGTGGTTTGCTGCGTTGTACTTTACAGGTGTAAAACATGGCCACTAAGAATAGATATTCATAGAATACCAGTATTTAGTTACAGGGGACATAGGAGCATTGTTCGTGTATTCTGGGATCACTGAGTAAGCAATGTTGAAGTTAGACTCAAGGTACCGAGCTAAAATAACAGATTGATTGATACGATGGTAAATCCTCATCGTCTGAGGTGGTTGAGAAGTATCTATCTACTTAGACGCGCGATGTTGGTTCCTGTGGTAGTATGGAAGCTAAAGGATATCATACGAAAGTAGGGCATCAATCTATGAAGTCATTGAGTCAGACTGAGTCGTGCTGACAGGGATAGCAGCAACTGTTGCGTTTAATATCTGGAGAGATTGGGTGACACAGCTTAGACTAAATCCCACTGGCGTTATCTTTTTGAATCCTGAGTTTTAAGACTGTTTTATGCTTCTTAACCCCAAAAGTGAACTCATTTTTTATCCATAACATCTATTTCTAATCATTTTACTCTTGGTTATATCATAAATACTACAACTGACACTAATCTTGATAATTTTATTTTGTTGTGTTGGTATGGTGCAACAACTTAGACCAATGAGTGTCTTCTATTATGAAAAATTAATGTCTTGTCACATTCCGTGCTAATCGATTGACTGAGAGTTAAGCAACACGACGTCCTATGTCCCGCGTTACAGATTGTATGTGACTGATGGAGAGTGAACACATCTGTACCACTGGTCAATGTCTAATCCATGTAACAAAACGTCTGTGAGCACTAACCACAGTTTACGCGCAACGCTGGGGTTAGGGAAAGGGACGGCAAATCGATTGATGAAACAGTAAATCTTCATTGGCTGAGGTAGTTGTGACATGTGTTACGCATTTCCAACCACTGAGCGATGTTATCTGGTGTAAGAGAGGCTGGGAGAAAGTTAGGGGTGGTCAAACCAAAACCCGACACCAGTTCATGAAGTCGTCGACAATTTAACTTACTCATATAAATAGATAAAGACTACTCGGTTGAGGCCCGCGTAATTACCGTAATCAATGTTCGTAAACTGAATAACATGGCTCAAAATCATTTGCAATGGTGCGTATGCTCAAACACCGAATGTCTCATCGAGCAATGTTATGTGGTGTAGGAGTAGGCTGGAAGAAAGCTAGAGGTGGTAAAACTAAAACATCGCACAAATCCATGAAGTTATTGACAACTGAACTGAGCCATAGTAGTAAGTATAGATTATCTGGTTGTGGTCCGCGAGACAATAGTAACCGATGGTTGGAGACCTTGAATGACATGGTTCAAAATCGTTTGCAATAGCGCAGAAGTATTTACTCTTTGTCTTTTCTCAAATTATGATCATCTGAGGTCCCCATGAAAGCTTTTTTCTCTTGAATTTATTTCACTGGGATGTACTTCTTGAACTTTATCTTCAATCCCCAATCTCTTCTATTACCACTAACGCTTCTACTACCACTATGGTATTCGAACTCACAATTTGGTCTGTGTGTGCATGGCAACTTGAACTGGTGTACGTACGTACGAAGTTCTATATTGCAGCTGACTGACTGACTGACTGATGCATCCATTTTTTGTTTTCCTTCAAATTTTAAGCTTTCGAATTTTTCGTGATCTTTTCTTCCTTTTTAAACCCATTTAACTGGTTTATATTTGCTTGAATTCGATCTCCGATCCTCATTTTTCATCCAAACCAATATTGCTACAACCTCTACTAACATGGGAACCGACTTGACAATTTCATATCGCTGTGTTAATGGAGTGTGGCAACTTGAACTTCCGTATGCATGTACCAAGCATCATGAATAAAACAAGTTGCAGTCCTAAAATCCTGAAGATTATACGTAGTTGAAACAAGAGTGGTTTCATAAAAGTCGATACTGAGCTGGGACCATATAGAGTCAAGATAATTTTATAAGATTCAGCTTTACAGCTCTTTTCAGAAGTATAGATCAACGAACTACGTTCATATTCATTTGCTAAAGTCACTGGTCGACACATTTAAAATTGATAAAAACTAAGATTATTCAGTGAAATTGAGATAATTATTTTGTAATTAACGATTCATTGATATTACAGCATTGTTGATGGCACTTAAAATGTAATCTAAAAGTCTATGAAGATCAAATAAGAGAAAATGAAGAGTCTGTATGTAAACAGAAACAAAGCCGTAGCCGACAGATTAACTTTGTATGACAGGTATGCAGTTCTTATTGTCATGTCTTAGCAAACATCAACCCGAAAGGTTAGTGCAAAAAACGAAGACCAAACTCACCGAGACTGTCCTCGTTGACCCAAACGTCGTGGTTTTACATTTGGAAATGCGCGTTTCATGACTTTTCCAAAATCTGCTGTATTTAGAGTTTTCATGTGATGCTTCTCACAATATGCTCTAAAGAGAAAACATAAAAACGAATATTCACATACAATTCACTTTTCGCAAAAAATACAATAGGATATCACGGTAAAACGTAATAGAAATCAGTCATCAACTTCGGTCGAGAAACTGAATACAAAGTTTTGAACAACGCGAAAGGTACGAGGGATGGTAACTGAACAGTATCACTATTCCGAAAGCTTACTTTTTTCATGATTTTACACACAGCAATAATTGAGCAAATAGATGGGTACGAGGATTTCTCAATTTAAGATTTGCTATAACACATGAATGATATCATGAAAGACATTCCGAATGGCCTCAGAAAACAAACGATAACTACATCTTCATTTTTGGTTAGGTGAATTTCGACATTTTTGTATTGAAATCGGGTTTTAGATAAACATTTTATCGGTTGTTTGAATCACAGTAATTGTGTAGTAGGAGGGAAAAACCAGTCTTTACTATGAAAAACGATGTGAAAGCAAATAGGATGGTTAAATACAATACCAGGTGGGAGATTGTATGAAAATGTATCCACTAGGGATACTTTTTAAATATATCAATAGCTCTATTTTAGAAATGAAACACATACGTTGACTAAAAAACTGCAGTCAGTGGGGGCATAGGCAGATACGACGACGAGTGTCCCTATCTTTGGGAGTCCTTACTGTCCCGCTCAGTTAGACAGCGCACAAGCCACTATCTACTGTAATCCAGTCTGCTATACCTACACCAGGAAGACCCCTGGAAGCAGCATCAGGGCTACCGGATACACGAAGAGTAAATCGGGTTGCTTCTTTATTTTGATAAGGTGAAATCAAATTAATGACTTTACTAGGATTCTGTATGCGCGTTTCCGAGACGCAGCATACATCGACTGGGCGAGATTCTAATGTCCTAGCTAAGGAAGCCTGTTGCTCTATTTGACACAATGTTCGTACATTAAATGCTCCAACATGTAGTTTAGAACGGCGTTTAAGGTAACCCGGAACGACGTTTCATGAACTCGCATCGTTTGCATTAGCGGTGCGGTGAGCTGAAGGAATGCGACTAGAGTTAGTCGTAGAGATAAGAAAGATATTAGGGGGTGTAGGAAGGATTTGATTTTGACCAATTCAATCTCGCGTGCTGTTACGGGTATGAGGGCGGTTGTCACTTCCCGGCTGCCCACACCGTGGAGGGGTGTTTCTTGAGGAACCTGAAAAGGAAGATAGATTAGTATTGGTCTTGGAGACCTGGGAGCGTGACCGCAGAGCCCAAGGGACTACTACTTGAGGCCGGTCACGCAAGGCCTTTTTATGAAAGTTTTTTGAGTATTAGCTTCGCTCTTGAAAGCCTTTAATGGGCACCCTTAACACCGGAGACGGAAATCCGTGAGGTAGGGTGAGGTGTGACATTTTTAGGGTCGACCTTTTCTAACCCTTCTCTCCTTGTGAGAAGGCAGCATCGCTCCAGATGCTGGTTGTCCGAGGGAAACACCTTACTGCTGTCACACCACTCTGCAGTCAGCAGTACGACTTCGCCCTCAGACCTTGAGTAGCTGCTTTTAGTCTCATCGTTCTCCAATCGACCTACCTGACATGATAGAACCTTCAGGAACATATGTTCCAGCTAATATAGCTCGGTTGAGTGATCACAATTGGCAAGCCCGACCATCACATCAAGGAAACAGTTTCGGTCGGGCGCAGGCTAATAAAAGGCCTACGCAACAACCGTGAACAGTGGTGGGTGGCGAAAGCAAAAGCGATGGACAAAAGTCTTCTTGTGACAATTACAGGGGAATAAGTCTAACTAATATAGTTTTTAAATTGTTAGCCTCGATTATCCTTAGATGCCTAACTAGAGCTCATGAAGATCAGACTCGAGAAAACCAGGCTGGTTTTAGAACTGGACGTGGATGTATAGACCACATCTTCACCTTCAGACTGGTCCTGGAACACACACATCTAGACGTCCGACAATAGTTGTGTTCCTGAACATTAGGGCGGCATTCGACTCTGTCGATGGTGAGGTTCTGTGGCAGTGTCTGTCATTGAAAGGTGTACCAAAGAAGTACATTAACCTTATACAAGCTCTCTACTCTAATACTACTGGTCGGGTGAGAGCTTATGGCGAACTGTCGTCGGAATTCTTTACTTCAAGTGGTGTCCGCCGGGGATGTCCACTTCCCCATTCTTGTTTAATTTTGTCATAGACATGCTAGTAGATATAACATTGACTTCGTCCGAAGTTTCAGCAGTCGACTTTCTACCAGGAAAATCGCTCACTGATCTAGAATATGCCGATGACATAGTTCTATTAGGTGAAGACGCTGACAAAATGCAGTCTTCTGACCACCCTAAGTAACAATGAAAGCAAGTTCTAGATGCGGTTTTCCCCCTCGAAATGCAAAATGTTGCTTCAGGATTGGCTTGCGACTTCACCGGAACTAGTGATAGGGAGTGAAGTACTCGCTTCACATATCTGGGGAGTTTCATCAGTGCTGATGTCCTGGTGACTGACGAAATCTCAGCACGGATACAGTACGCTCGATTGGTTTTCGCCAACCTGCATCACCTATGGTGCAGGCGAGATATCCGCTCGCTAACCAAAGGACGAGTGTACTGTTCAGCAGTTCGCCCCGTCCTACCATACGGATGCGAAACATGGCCGTTAAGAGTACAGGACTTTCTTAGGTTACTAGTCTTCGATCATCGATGTCTCCGAAGCATTACTCGTGTATCCTGGGAGAACCGTATAAGCAATGCTGTCGTTAGGAAACGAGTTCTAGGTAGGGATGGCAAATCAATAGATGAAGGAGTGAAACTTCATCAGTTGAGATGGTTGGGACATAGGTTACGTATGGCTAACCACTGACTACCGCGACAAGCTATGTTTTGTGGTGTAGGAGTAGGTTGGAAGAAAGCTAAGGGCGACCAAACCAAAACACGGCAGAAATCTTTGTGTTCTCTCTAATTCTAATTTCTCATCACTTTTGTCTTTCTCTTTCTAAATTTGTCTCACTGAATTATACTTTTCGAATCATATCTTAGCTCCCTAATCTTCTCTATTACTGTTAATACTTCTACTATCGCTATCACTATTGGATTTGAACTGACAGTTGCGTTTCTGTGCTGATGTGGTATGGCAACCTGAACTGATGTACTTACGTACGAAGTTCTGCGTTGTATGTCTCTGTCTGAAACAACTTATGCCTGTTACTTATTGCGGAGCATAGGCCGCTGACCAGCCACCTCCAAAAAACTGTCTTGGAGTCCCCTTTCCAGTCGTTGCTAAGTGCCATATAATCTTTTGATGTCTGCCCTAATTCTCAGCTTACTGTGTTACTTGGTCTTGATCTCTATCTTTTACCTTGATTATCACCGCAAGATACGGCCTATTCACTCCGTGTTTTCTTCTAATTCCTTTCTTATAACAGGAAGCTAGTTTGTCTCCTATCATAGAAGATCGTTGCTAAAGGTAACCAACGGATCCGGAGTATCTGGCTTAGACAACTGTTTATAAATACTTTCATCTTTTGAATGATGGGGATTTGTAGCTCTCCAAGTTTCCGCCCATTTTAGAATTGTGCTGATATTTGCACTAAGAATTGTCTTGGCTTTACAGATGTCCTTCAACTGTAGAGACGCTACCCTTGCTTTGCTTCACACCTGTATCTAACCTCACTCTTTATCACTGATGGTGTTTAAGTACGTAAAAGTTTTCACATCTTTCGGAGATTCTCCATCGCGTATGATTTGGTTGGTGCATGTTGTGCTGTAACGTAAGATTTTCTTGTGTATTTTGGGGCCTACTGAGTCAGAGGTTGCCACCACACTGGCCGTCCCCATCTGAATTTGTGTGGGATAGAAGAACTAGGTGATTTGTGAGGTAAAAATCATCGAGGTGCATTCAGTTGCAAACTGGATCCTTTGATTCACTGAGATGTGTTTCATAATTCAGTCAACTATCAGAAGAGAAAGGGTGGGAGTTACCAACCTTATCTGAAACTGGTATTCAGTCAGTCAGTCAGTTGCAACGTAGAACTTCGTACGTAAGTACATCAGTTCATGTCGCCATACCACATCAGCACAGAGATATAATTGTCAAAACAAGCTCATTCCACATGAAACTGGTATTCATGTGGAATGAGCTCGTGAGCTGCCCTCCATGAGCGATTTTGCGGTGTAGTCCATCACAATAATTCCGTACGTTAACTATCTCCTCAGGCACAGCATAGTCCTCTTGTTCATGCCATCAAATACTTTCTCGTAGTCGAAGAACTTGATGCATGATGGTGAGTTCCATTCAACTGATCCTTCTACAACAATTTGTAGTGTCGCGATCTGGGCGGTACATAACCAATCCTTATGGAATCCAGCCTGTTGATATCGAAGTTAGGCGTCTAGTAGATCTTTAATTTGATTGGACAACAACTGAAGACTTTTTGTGGTATTGAAAGTAGAGTGATGCTCTGTAGTTCTCACACTTGCTGAGATCTTTCTTTGGGATCTTGATAAAGTATCCTTCATCCCAGTCTGTAGGTTCTTGTTTTACTTCACAAATCTTTCTGAAAAGGGCGCGGTCAGTCAGTCAGTTACAACGTAGAACGTCGTACGTAAGTATATGAGTTCATGTTGCCATATCACATTAGCACAAAGATATAACTACCAATTCAAATCCCACAGTAGTAGAGGTAGTAAAAGTATTAGAAGCAATCGGAGAGATTATTCAAGAAGTATAATTCAGTGACATAAATTTAGAAAGAGAGAGTTGATGAGGAATTCAGAAGAATGTTGTCCGGTCCCTCTGCTTTGTTAGTCTTGATTTGTCTGATGGCCACGCTGATTTCGTTAGCTGTTTGTAGTTAAGACCATTTAGCTTTCACCTTTGAAACTGCTACTGGTGTGTCATAGAACGCTGTAGAGATTGTCAGTGCAACGAACTATGAATCTGGTTTACGAAATTCCCCCCAGGATATGAAATTCTAAAAATAAACTGCCCAAAATATTACGACTGAAGTTTTGGCTTCACCGAAAATATGAGCTTTATGCTTTGGTTGAAGCCTACCCATGATTTCATATGCTCCAGTGTTAAGAAAACTGTAACTGCCCATTTAAGCTTGTAATTAGCTTATCAACGCGTTGTATTGATAGCTTCGACATTCGAGCAAATAAATAATTAACAAACAGATAGCACTATAAATTAGTTTGGGTTATTACAAATGGATTGGTCTGGGCACTTACAGACTAGTGAAAATCATATTTAACTCAACAGCAGCAACAAGTGCACCAAGAATATAAAACCATCTATATTTTTTGAAAGTGTACTACAACTAAGTTTGTTGCAACGTCACTACCTTCCATCGTCGACGTGTTAGCCAGAATCCCGTAATTCCGAATTATGTCTATTTATACATATTTATACAAGTTAATAATGATCTGTAATGCAACTGAATGTATGAAATCAGACATTCATAACACTAATGCAAACATATATATAGGGAGTTCCGAGTTATAGGTAAACCACTCTTAGCAGTAAATGAGCATACAATCAATCAATACTTGTAGTACGAAAGATACTGTCTGTGTTTTCACCCAACTTAATGGATGCACTGGGATGAACCTGCTTGATTTCATAAGTCGGTTTCACAACTACTACGTTATACCAGACCCCATGACCATCACAGAGAGATTCTGTCTTTTAGCATAAGATAGCATAGTCACACAATACAAATCAGGAAGAAATATTAGTTGTTTTCCTGATGCAGCTAGTGTCACAGTACAACTGGACATCCAATCGCAAGTGAAGAGTATGTTGTTAGACTAACTTGTTTCAGAGCATTAGTCTTTATGCATCAACCGGGAATATGGGGGATTTGAGCAAGTGATTCACAATGAAGACCAACTGAACTGTACTTAAAAATATCACTAATATTACAGTCGCATACTTCGCCACATGGTGAAATAACATTTTGGTGAGAGCAGATGTTAATTCATAATGGAAATTGTAACCAGTCAAAAACCCCAATTCTAATCCCCCACACAAACTTGTAACCTTTTTAACCTATTAATTCAACTTCCCCAATATCACTTTGGTATTGCTCAAAGCTCTCACTAATTAATTAATTGATTATCAAGAACGTAACCAGGTGAGTCGCATAATATTTTAAGGTTACACATCTTTAGAACCGAATAAGACAACATGGTAAATGCTGAAGTTACCTGTAGTCATCATATACCTCATCTTTTCTTAAACACGTTGAAGGATCTTCTTCCAGATGAGACATAATCCACGTGTAAGCTTGACTCTGTTCCACTTGGTTTGATAAGTGAAGAGAAGACTGTCCACCTGGTGAGAAGAGGCCGATACCCAAAGAATTGACGTCGTAACCCGAAGAGACGTCCAGATCATCACCCGCAAGACCGAAAGAAGTGTTGCTGAGACAGTGGGAACCATGATTATTATCCACGGGTAGTAGTAGACAAAACAGAAGCTTTTCAACATCTTTCAAGGAGGCAACTTCTTGGATCAATGAGTCAATTTTAGTTCGGGTATCTTGACTGAGAAAATAATTATACAATAGAAAGGTATGGACTTACGTTATAATACTAGACAAGCTTGATTTCAGAAAATCATAGCCATTTTTGGCACAGTCTTCATCTTGATCTTCAGATTTCAGCATGAAGGTGATTTAGTAAGATTTTCTCTTGATTTAAACCCCTTTGGAATTATTCTGCATACATCCAAGGACAGAAACTAAGTGTTTAAAGTGCATAATCTGACAATACAACAAGCCAGATTGAACAAAGAGCCTTAGTAAAGGTGAAAGGCAATAACATACGATTAAACAAATACCACAATTATTTCTTCTTTCATGGTTCAATGCCAACTGCACCAAGTCTTTTATTCACTCTACGTACATTAATCAATATGAATTACATAGTTGAGGAGATTAAACTGCGGACAATTAGTTTAAATAGACATATACGAAGTCTTTTGATAGAACAGTGAGAAGACGTAATTGATGTGAAAAATGTGATGTATTTGCGCTATACATTTCGAACAGTCTGGTCACACATATTTACTTGTCAAGGCATTCTATATGAAGATGAATAAAAGGTCAATTAAATAAAAGTTCAAATAGACATAGGGTGATAATTGTAAATAAAGGAGAGAGAAAATTAACGTAATATGAAAAGAATAAGAAGGGGTAGGAAAATTGTCACATTACCCTAGGCTTAAAGATTACCAAGGTAAATTCAAGGTTATGACAAATCGTTTCTGCACACATAAGGGGGGTTTTAATTTTCGAATAGTCAAGGCTTCCATAAACCTCAAAATTCGTCCTTCAACATTTCTCTACAATGTTTTGAAGGCTGTCTTGATGTCACTCTTATTCCCTGTCTCATTTATGTGTTTTGCGATCGATGAACATGGTTTTCTTTTTCAAACGCTAATCGGCTCATCTGACGTTGATTGATTTTGAAGCCACTTTGGTACATGCTCCATAACCCTTGATTGCAAAGTCCGATTACTCCTACCTATGTATGTGTGTCCACACAAACATGTAAATTGAATAATGCAATGGGATGTGATGTAATCATTCGAGCAACATTTAGGTATATGTGAAATCGTGGAATTGGTCTTTTCAATGATAATCAGTTTAGCAGCGTTGTATGTTTTCTCTATGGCTGCTTTTAGTCTCTGTCTTAATATTAGACCATTTGCTTCACCTCTAAATGGTAAAATGATTTAAACCTTTTTCTTCTCAGCAGAATGAAAAACTTGCTTTTTCTTAACTGATCTCTACACCTATTGATGAACTTTATTTATTTAATTGACCTTTTATTCATATTCATATAAAATGCCTTGACAAGTAAATATGTGTGACCAGATTGTTCGAAATGTATAGCGCAAATAAATCACATTTTTCAGATCAATTACGTCTTCTCACTGTTCTATCAAAATTTATAAAAGGGACTATTTGTTTTGAAGTCTTGTTTGACCACAGTCCTAGGGCCGACATGATTTAGGATGAAATCGTCAGCAAGTCATCTTGAACTATAATGAACCCATCTCATGGCTACTAACCCATGTCGAGACTTCATCATACAACAAACAATCCTATATGCACCCCTGTCATGCTCTTCTGATGTGCTCAATTCACAGTAATCTCTAACACAAAATTTACGCCTTCCTTGCTATTTATATCCCTAGAGCTTTTAATACAGATATATTCTGCAGCAATTGGGGAACAGTTTGCATCTAAGATGAGACCAATTTCGGTGAGAACGTCTTTACTGTGACTCCATTCATCCATGACTAGTCTTAACTCGAACATTTTATTTCGAAACCAATGAGCGTTTTCGTAGCACAAACTCAAGGTGTCCTAGGAATCATTTGATCGACCCATCCATCTCTCGGAAGAATTGGTTTTCAATACCTAACCACCCAAAAACCTTTGACCCTAAGGTTTTCTTTGCCTTTTTCCTCGAGTTTTTAAATCAGCAAGAATATTCTTCTATTTAATTCAATCTTCAAGTAACTAATCAGGTTGGGTTCGAATATGCGGATTACGAGCCTTGTTTGTGTTATCTAATATGATGTCTCGAAGAAATTTTCCTCTGTGTATACTAAGTACCATTCATCTCATTACCAGTGCTAAGGTTAGATGCGCTTTCGGCAGGTGATAGTTTTTTGTCCTATCAATGTTTATCATAACGATTACGCGTAAAGATTTGCTTGGACCGTTCATTCCTCTTTGGATACATCTATGATTATCTCAGCCCATGTATCAAGAACTAAAGCTAAGCTAGCAACACTAGCGACTGTACTTGTTACCTCGTCATCATCTGATGTCAGAGAAACCGGGTGAATGTCGTCACTCGTCATCTCATGCATCAGAGTGAAAAGCACCAAGTCTTCATCCATGAGAATATCTTTGGTAAGGCAGCATTCTCTACACAACCACGGTGTGGCTGGTTAATAAAAATGTTTATGCGCAGCTAGCGACAGATTGGTACACATTTTTTAAATCCGTCTCTAACACCAGCCACGCTGCACTCCGCCTAAAATAAGGAAGAGGCGCAATGGTCTACCGCATCGATGATTTCTAATCACCATTCTAGCCAGAATGACATGGACAAGACGAAAAAATTTCAAACAGCCAACCATAAAACGGACAACAAGTATAACAGTTGTTATAAAAATATAGAAAAACCATTATTATCGATAAATGTTTGATTGTGACAGACTAGTCAAATTTTCATCGATTAAAATTTTTTACTAGATATAGAGTCAACATATTTTAGCCTAAATTCTGTGGTAAAACGTGTATTTCTCTTAGCGTACAAAATTTTAAGTGCCATCTATCTTGTATTCTGTTATCTCGAACTCCAAAGACAGAGCAATGAGTCGTAACATGTTGACTTCTTGCTAAGCGTTGAAAGAACCAAATAGAGATGACTGTTTGATGTTTGTTTCCTTGATATCATTGGAAGGCTTCCAGAGACTCAGCCGACTTTAAATGTTTTTGAATGGAATGGAAGATTTTCCCCAAATGAGCGTAGCGCGTCGAGTGCCAACCGGCCACTGATGCCTTTAGACAGGGGCCTGAGAATAGGGGGAGCACTAGGAAAACAAGAGAATTTTCAGAAGCTTGGAACTCAGATCAATCAGCGATTAACAAACATATTTACATTGACCCAATTTACGAACCATTCAGAAAGATCATAGGCGATATAGGATCAAGAAACAGAATAAAAGGGGTATACAATCAAAACAAAGGTGCAAACGATGACAGATTTAAGGTCAACAGCAACCAACCAGCTCTAGGTTAACAAAACAAGCTACGGGCCAAACGTGGAGAAATTCGGATACTTCGCTTTGATCCGAAGTTTGTGCTGATAATGTTGTTCAGAAGAAAGATGAAAGCTCCACAACTAAAACATCCAGCTGAGAAAACGAAACACCACAGGAATGATAGAAATATCTGGTAAATCAGTTTGATTTGCTCTCTTGAGCCACTGAGAAAACAGTGCTGTTTCCTAAACGATTCCAGAGGCTTTTCTCAAACTGATTTAGGCAAAAGAGAGATCTGAGACTCGGTTAGACATGATAAGAATCCATGACTTTGTGGATTTCTCATATTCACTGTTCAAATTGTTATCCGAATCAAGCACCTTCTGGTAATTTTGTTTCCTTTTGGTGGTTTGTTATTGAATGTGTGAGAATGAAATTTACAGCCAAAGTTATTTCAGAACGACACATCAGACGAAAAGAGTACTTCCATTTAGGTATTCTTCAGGCCTTACCCTTACATACACTAACACAGAGTTACAAAACCGGTCAAAGCAGTTGACAGGCCAGCAATAAAAGTGAAATAGATTATATCGACAAATCAAGAGCGCGGAATGATGATTCGATGACAGTTGTACTAGTTGCGACAAGCACAATAAAGGCTTGAAACGGGGCGTTTTATAATATAAGGTAGGCAAACAACCTGGAAGGCTAGGCGCTGGAACGATATTCGTTAAAAATAGTTGAAACAGCATTATTAGGTACCGTGGTAAATTTTTGAAAAGAGAGGAGGAAATATAGAAATGATCAAAGAGAAAGTAATAATATATGGAGAACAATGGTAAATGAAATCCCTTTCCGTAGGTGATTCGGTGAAGGAAGAGATAGTGAGTTTGCAGTTTTCTTACGTACATGAAATCTTTGATTATTGGCTTTAGCCCATACAGCTTCTACCATGTTTAAGAGATGAGGTTGTATTCTATAGGGAAAGCTAGTCGGTTTATGACAAGTTAGCTCAAATTATTTTTCATATTTTGATCAAATGTGATAGAATGGAACTGCGGATTGATTTCATAATATCCTCCCTTCGCCACGAAGAGGCTTGTTTACTAACTCGTTGTCATTGTTGTCTAATTTTACGTCTAATATAATTTTCTCCACGGCGGCAGCTGAATTTGTGAAAACATATGGATGTAACGAAACCAAGTAACCTACCCTTTGGTGGAAGAATCATCTTAGGTTTACTAGGAATCGACAAACAGAGGTTAGCTTCAGTAAATGTTCTCGTCACTGCTTTGGTTAACTTATCCCATACGATATTGTTGGATATATCATCGTTTAAATGTAGCTTCATCAAGAAAGATTTTGTCGTACTTGGAGATTAGCGTTTAATCCAAACCCATGTGTTAAGTTGGCTCCCGGAAAGTGCTATAAGGCCTCGCTAGGTTTTCAATAAAATGAAGAGATTACATTCAGTCAGGGTACGTTAGAATTTTAGAATATCGAAGTGGCATACTGTTGGGGACGTGATAAATGCTTGATAAATGTCTTAATTTCGGATTTTAGTCATGGGCTGGCCAGGTAACCTAGAGATCTCATTTCCCGCCAGGAAAATCCTTGGCCGTGATTGGTTGATGTAATGTTTTCGTACGCCATTTTTGTGACCCTCCCAAGGACGTTTCAATGATGTATAAATAAACGCAATTTGTGTCCTTGAATTCACTTTATTTGCTGGGTGTTTGTAGAATTCTCTTTCTACGCCATATCAAGACTTTTCTCTTCAGTTAGTTGAGGCAACGGATCAGAGTAGCCTACAGTGTCACTGGTTCATTGTCTTGTCCCCGTTTATCGACTAGGGTTAACTCGTGGAAGTTTCAAGCATATCAAGTGACGAGCATAACAATTGGCGACGGTGGTTTTGGAAACATGGATCCTACCAAAATAGAATTATTACTTGAGCAGCAGCGAAACTGATGCAGATGTTGACAGATATAAAGATTTCCCGTTGCACACAGCCCAG